ATCAATTTCGAATTCATTTTGTGAGGATCTCTAGAATCCCCACATCCTAGTAGTTAATCGTATATCGTGCGATCAGTTTTAATCAGATACTATTTGTATTTAATTTTAAATAAAAAAATTAAATGATTTACGATTACATGATAAATAATTGAGATGTGAAAATTTTTAAGATCCTCACAGGATGAAACCGGATAGGATCGAATTTCGATGTTGTTGATATGTTTCTTCTAGACCTTCTTCTTTTGAATACACCAACAAATTACCACGAAATAACGGCGTTTGGAAATTTGGAAGGAAAGGAAAAGACCCGTCTATATATAGAGCCAAACAGCGCAACACAATAATAGTATGAGAATTTGAGACCCTTTTTCTCAGCAGCCTGAGAGAAAGAAAGAGAAAATCATAAGAAGGAAAGAAAGAAGAAAACATCCATTTTCTTGAGAGACAGAGAAAGAAGGGGTTCGGAGATCTTGCCAGATCGGGACCAAAAAAAACTGTAAGAGAAATCTCTCTCTCTCTCAACCTTCTTTCTTTCTTGGTATTGCTTGTCTTCCGTGTGTTTGTGCTTCGTGGGATTTCTCAAATGTGCTTGTTTTGTCTTTCGATTTGTGCTTTTTTCTGCAAAGTTTTGAGCTTTGAGGCTCCGTCTTTCATGGGTACTTCTCTGTTTTTGACATTGTTAGCTGAAAACTGAGTTTTTGATTTTTTTGGTGTATTTTTTGCTCAGAAATGAGAGTTTTTTCTTCTTTTTTTGGGGTGATTTTAAGGTTAATTTAGCTCAGATTGCAAAAAGATGAGAACTTTCTTTGTTTTTGTCAACGGTATTGTGGTGGTTGGTTGCTAATGGAAGACATGGCGCAAAATTGAGTGCAGTGGCGTTTTAGGATTCATACCACCGACACAATTAGTGGGGTTGTTATATTGTGGTTGTTGGTTATGGGGCGTGCTCAAATTTGTTTGGTCAACCAAATTTCTAATTTCCATCGTGATTTTTTTTTACCTTATAATTTAAGCTAACCCCTTTTACTTTAGCTTTTGTGATTCTTACTTTAATTTTTATTTGTAGGGTTCAATTCATTATTTAGATGTCTTGTCCCTTAAATTTTACCTAATTTGTCTCCTATTGTGTCTTTTCCAACGTGATTATAATAGTTTAACTGCTTTACATATGCGAGATTATAAAAGAAAAATGGCAAATTGAGGAGGTTCCGGTGACCGGTAAACTAATACGGCCGTCGGAATCCTATGCAAGAGTTTCTCCTCCGGCACCGCCACCTTGGATTGGCAAAGTACAATGCTTTTTAAAATTTTTTTTCGGATTAGCAAAGTACAATTCGAAGAGTGATCCACCCTGTTCGAATGGAAGATCCCAATTTTAAAGGCGAAATCTACAACGTGGATCACTCTTCCTAAACAAGAATTTATTTTAGTGGTTCTTGTGTTTCCTAAAAAACTTCGAGTTGCAGGTTTGTAATTTTATGTTTTATGCAGTATGCTGAAACATGGAGTACCTGCAATGCTTTTTGTTTATACTGTTTTGTGTATGTGCCTGCGTGTGCGCTTTTGTGTATCTTTGAATTCTGTCATCGGATAACATGTCTTTGGTGTTGTAACATGGATTGGGAGATCCAATATACCTCTAAATTGTTGCGGTTTAATTGACGTGTTTATCCATAAAAGCATCATACACGTTTCGGTCAATTTGAATTGTGTTTGAAGATATAATAATTTACGTGTAAACAAGTAATGCTTTGTTAGTTTGTCGGTGGTAATGCAATTTTCCTATAGTCTGGTGGTGCTCAGCTTGTAGCTTTCTTGTGCAGCGTCATGGGGAGGGAAGTTGCTGGTATAAGGGCAGGGAACAGAGAAATGGAGAGGAAGGTGGTGGAGAAGAAGATTAACGGTGTCGTGGTGACATCAATTGGTTTTACTCATGGTAAGGTCCGCGTTGCTCCCAAAATTTCAGAAGAAAGCATTGAGTCAAAGGATTCCAAGGTGAAGGACCCTGTCGGAGAAAACGAAGTTGCTGTGGAATCTGAGGAGAAGCAAGATGTGCTGGCTGTTAAGAGTACAAATCTTGTTCAAAGTCCAGAGTCTCCGAATGCAGCGTCTCTAAAGAGTTCACAGGTAAAACCATAAAAACATTATATTGTTCTTTCACAGCTCTAAAGGATTCATCCACCGTCAATTTGTTTATCATATATTGAACTTTGTTGAGGTTTTATACCATTTATGTGATGGCTTGGATAGTTATGGCATATGTACAAGATTTTATGCCTGATCTAGCAAGTAAAAGTATAACTCATTGGGGTTATTACCTTTTTGTTTTTTGCAATTTTGCTACTGTGAGACATGCTCTGTAGAAGGTTTTGAATTACATGTTTATATGATCTTACGAAGAATGCCATCTCAAATATGAGTTTCAGTAAAGGAAGCTAAATTATCCTTTTATTTGGCTTGAAGGGCATCACAAAACTGAGAATAATTATGGACTTTTGCTTGTAAACGCTACTGCAGCGTTATGGTAGATTTGGGATGGTTCTGATTTCAATTTTTTTCCCCTTTTCATTTCAGCCAACTTCTCAGTCATCACAAGAGGGCGTGGAACATGATAATAAGAAGCATGCTAATGAAGAAGATAATTGGTCTATGACTTCCTCGTATCCTTAGTTGACATTTGAAATTTGAATTTATTTGTTTTACATATATATTAGAAATTGTTCATCATATTAGCATTATCCTTAACCAAGAACAGAACTGCTGCATCAAGAACACCTAATTTCAAGGTTACGGTTGGACAAGCTCCCACGTTTAGGATCTATGAGCGTATAGAGAAAAGGAAGGAGGTACTTATATAACAAAACAAGTGACTGTATATCTTGAGAACTACATTTAATCTGCACAATCTAATGTGTAACTGATGCGATTCCCTTCGTCTAGTACTACTCAAAGTTAGAGGAAAAGCACCAAGCTATGGAGGCAGAGAGAAGCCAGTGGGAAGCAAGAGCCAAGGTGCGTCACTTCCCTCTAGCATCTTGTATTTTCTTGCCATTAAGCATGGGTGTCATGCGGATCTGTGTTTTCTTTTGGGTGTTTATTCCTCCGCATGTGATGGGATCTGCTTGAAAACTCATTTTACGTTTTCCTTGATTACACTTTCAGGAAGAGCAAGAAGCAGCCATCAAGGTGCTGAGGAAGAGCATGGTGGTCAAAGCAAATCCGGTACCCAGTTTCATTTACGAGCCCCCTCCTCCTAAGACTGAACGCAAGAAGGTAGTTAATTCAAGTCTTGTCAGCTGTGCTTGACTACTTTTGAGCTCTAAAACATATTGGGATTGACCAAAAAGAGAAAAACATGATGCACACGTCAACCGAAAATAAAATTAAAGAACCGGGACTTGGAACCTGATTAAGTGTTTGATTATGCAATTAATCTGTATTCGAGGACTAGGATTTACCGTATCATTGGGAATAATCCATGTCCGAGTAATGTAGCGATTGCTTGTACTAGCTGCACCTTTTTGTTGTGAAATGAACTTTTTTTGTTCTTGTATATGATTTCAGGCTCCACTCACTCAGCCCAAGTCACCAAAATTTAACAGTCTAAGCCGGAGGAAGAGCTATGGTGATGCAATCACCAACTCATCCGCGGAGGAAAAAAAGAAAGGCTGTTCTCGGCCACAACGTCACAGCCTTGGTACTCAGAAAGAAACTTCCCCCGCGGCTCCCAAAAGTAAGGTTCAGTCTGGAAGGCGAAACAGCCTTGGCGGTTGCAAGACGAAAGACCATTCAAAACGCGAAAAGGAAACAACCGAAACATCTCCAAAGACCGCGGAGCAGACATCAGAGTCGAATCACGATGGACTCGAAAGCTGCTTCTAACGTCGAGTGGAAAAACAAAGGTGTTGAATTTGGCAGGTTTACCATTTGGATGTACTGAAGAGAAATAGCTTTTGTTTTACTTTCATCCACAAATGACTTGTTTACTTGGGTTTGTGTTAATTGTGAATTGTATATGGTTTTGTAAGTTAAACCGGTAACTGGTACATATCTCGTTATGTATAAAAATGAGTTTTCCTTTCTGTTTTATTTGAGACGACTTAACATGTTTACTTACGAAGAATGAGTACGTGACATTTCCCGACTTTTTTCACGTTCACTAATACAAAGGGAATATAAAAATATGCGGATCTCACCTTAAATACGTAATTTAAGACCAGAAATTTGATCGACTAGGGGAGTAGTTGATCCAATTTTCATCATTTTTTTATTATTTTGCTTCTCTCGTTCTTGATAAGTAAACATATTAATATGGTTGGAAAAATAAAGGAAAAACGTCAAAAACCAGTGAAAGGCGAACTCGATAATGAAAATTTCACGTGCAAAAACATAAAACGACCAACATTGAGAATATCTCACTTCTACTCAGTATTCTTCAACTTTGATTGTATTTATTGATAAGGTCGAGTATTTAGCCTATAAACTCATCGTTTAGAGCTTTACTCACCCAAAAATTTGATACTTAAAATCTAAAATCAAAACTAGTAACGAGTTCATACTAAAATTTGAAGATTAGGGGATGGTTGCCATTTCCTCAAGGTTCATGTTTTCCGTTAATACAACGTTCTATGTTCATTTTATAACACGTATATCTGATATTGATAAATGTGTATCGAATTCCAATTACCAAATCTTGTGAATGTGTGTTAAACTCTAATTATCCAATTTGTGCCTTGCAAACACTTAACATAATGCAGATATGGATAAAACTAGTTAATCAAGATTACCCGTTCCCAAAACCCTAGCACCCAAGCTCCATCCACAAACATAATGACTTAAGTTTGTAAATTAATTAATATATCATCAATATATAATAAATACGTTAATAAAAAAAAATTGGAGAATTAAAAGAAACAAGTTTCCTTCACAACTAATCAAAAAAGGTATTTAGTGTTGTTAAAATTAGAATATGAATAAAATTTGATGTAAATTGCAAAGCATTTTGGTTATCAATAAGCATCTCCATTCATCCTCTAAATTCTTAATACAGAAAAGAGTTACCAAATAACAACCGCCACAGTTGTTGGGAAAAAAAAAAACTTGGAAAATAAAACCCTACAAATTCTGTGTCAACAAACTGTTTCTTCATTCCCAAACTACCCTCACTGCCCACACAAATTTACACAAACTACCCTTCTCCGAAACGTAACAACCCGACTTGTTTTTTCATTCCGAAACTCCCCTCACTCCCCAGACAAATTTACACAAACTACCCCTCTCGAGAAACGAAACCGACCGGGGCAGTTTCTAAGACTCTCACTTCTTCGCCTTCCTCGCCGGAGCCTTCCTCTTCACCGGCGACTTCACACTCTTCGGCTTCCTCACAGCCCTGGCCGGAGCCACCGGCTTCTTCGCCTTCGCCTTAGACTTCACCTCCGCCTTCTTCCCCGGCGACGTCCTTGTCGATGTTCTCGCAGCCTTGGCAGCAGGTTTCGCCAAGGCAGCAATCGCCTTCACCTTTGGCTTCGCAGCCGCCGGCTTAGGCTTAGAAGCTACCGCTTTCGCTTTGGGCTTCGCAGCCGTTTTGGACTTCGGCTTAGCGACCACCGTGGCCGACTTCTTAGGCTTCGGCGCCGCGGCCGCTGCCTTCTCTTTCGCCGGAGCAGCGGAGCGAACGGGAGGCAGCTTGAACGAGTTCTTCACCTTGACGAGCTTTCCGGCGGCCACGAGCTTCTTCAAATGGTTGAGCAGAAGCTTCTTGAAGGTCGGCGGCAGATTCTTGTGCTCCTCCTCCACGAACTTGGTGATCGCATACTGGCTCGATCCGGTCCTATCCTTCAACGACACAATCGCCGCCGTGATCATCTGAAAGCCACACAAAAAAATGGTCGCAATTAGCCTCCGAAAACAAAAAGCACCAGGTAAAATCGTAGATTAAACAAAAACACCGATTTTCCGATCACATACCTCGACGAACGGCGGGTGAGCGGGCGGCGATCTCGCCTTCTTGGCCTTGGCGGTGGAGACGTCAGTTCCAGTCATGGTTGTTGACACGGCGATTTGACTCAGTTAATTCGGAAGCGGAATCGGAACGTTCTTCTCAGATTTGGATAGAGAAAAATCAGAAAACGGGAATTGTGGACTGACAGATGAGGGAGAAGGTGGTTTATATGGGGAGGAATTGAGGGGGAGATGCTGAGCGCTGATTGGTCGAGAGCAGTGCGATCCGGATCGAGAAATCTGTAAGCGTTTAAACGTGGGTCGTCGGATCTCGCAGTTATCTGCGGTTGGGATGAGAGTTTGGCGCGTGAGGCGGACGAGATTGACTGCTTTTGTACGGAGGCGCTTTTTGTTTGGGCGGTGAATTTTTCAAAAGAGTTTTTTGGGTGTGTTTCTAAGTCGATTTGTAATGGGTGTAACTTCGGTTGTAGTTGATGGATTTTAGTGAGATTTTGATGGGTGTTAAGGTTTGAACCTAAGCTTTCTAATGAGCATTTTTTTGTTGGATTTGGATTTGGGAATTGGGAGAAATTTGGATTTGAAGGTAGACTGATCAGAACTAGGGTTTAATTGGAGTTTGTTTGGGTTAGATTATGTTTTGCGATAATGTTTTGAAGGCATTTGGTATTTTTGGGTGTTCGATTGTTGTAGGCTTGCAGATGAGTGAAATGATTAAAGAATCGTGAAATTCTGACAATGAATGAGTTACGAAATGTCGATCAGAAAGACGATGAAGTTGAACATGTGTTTGAATAGTGTGATAGCCTATCATGCTTGAATTTCAGATGATACATATGTAGTTGTGTAATTCGTTATGAATTGATTCATCCAGTGCAATTCTATTCTTGTTTATGGTTCTTCAAGTTAGTCTTAAGCTTTGTAATAACTCGATCGTTAACAACCACGTCATATGGTTTAGCAAATTTGGCCTGAAAATCTAGTATCCCTAGTATTATCCTGAAATGTATCATTCACTTTATTGTATAAACCTCACAATCGGAACAATTCATTTGAATTGAAAACCGTTAGTCAAACAAATTTACAGTTCATCTTGTATTTATTATAACTGTCAATTTGTTCGACACATATAGATAACTAAACGGGTTTCAAATCGAATGAATTTTTTTAGAAATGATCCTTAGATGATGATAAAAAGAATGAATAGTTCTGATTCTCATCATTGTACAACAAAATGATGTCATGTTAATGTGATATGGGAAGTTTTGTCCATCCATGTCTCCTTTCATTAATGGCAGATGACATTTTCTTCTAAAACAACAACTATTCATTACATGAAAATTTTATTTATATGACAACCCCTTGATCATTGTTAATTATTTAATTTAGGCCTAATGTGTATTAGGGTTCATTTGGAAAATGACTGAAAATGTTTTTGAAAAAAAATGCTTTTGAGTTCCAAAAGCACTTAAAGTGCTTCATGGGTGAAGCATCAGTTATGTACTTATTTTATGAATCATTTTAAAAGTATTTTTCAAATGAACTCTAAGTTACTAGATTTTCTGGAAACTAGATGCTAATCAAATTTTAACAAGCACATCTGTATGCACGTAATTGTGATTATCAAAGTTTTATCGTACACTTCATAATCGAAGTTGTTCATTTTCACAATCATCATTCAATGGTTATCTGTGCACTAAGATTCTTTACTAATCCGTGTGCACATCTCAGTTTGCACAGAGCTTATGTAAGAACTTCAGTTTCTGTTGGCTTGGCTCCCCTTTTGAGTTTTCGGAATCATGCCCCATGTCACTGACTCACTAGCCCTAATGTTGAGATTTGATTAAGATATAGGGTCGACTTCCTTAAGTAACAAGTCATGCTCGAGCTTGGTAACAATGGTTGGTTAGACGCTCTGTAGAGATCTCAATGCGGCGGAGCGAAGTTGAAAGCCGGAACATTAAGTCTAGTCGGAGAATGAATTTGTACTTTCTCACAAAATTGAGATTAACTTAAGACTAACAAACGCATCAACAACAAAATTATTGGGTAAGCCAAGGTTCCACCGCAAACAAATTGGAAGTTTGGAGGGTAACCTAACTACTTATAAGTACATGTAAAGTCTCTTTGCTTTCCGATATGAGATTCATATACTTAACACGTCTCCTCACATGTGAATTTTCAAGTCAAATACGTGAACAACACAAATCAAGTGGCACATATATGCCAACCTACTTTATACCATGTAGAAGCTGAAATTCCATCATAAAACCAATTGACAATATGAGAATTACATGGAAACTAACTTAATTTATAAAATTAAAAATAAGGGGTCGTTTAGGGTTGCTTCTATAAGAAGCACCTTTACTTTTATAGGTGTTTTGATAGAAGTGCTTTCATTAGAAATGCATTAAAAATTGGAAAGTGTTCATAGCGCTTCATAAACCTAAATTAATGTGCATTCCAAATTTTCTTTACTTAAAAGAAAAAAAAAAAAACCCGTAATTGAATTTTTAGGATACCAATAATAGTTCTTTATAAATTTTAGGCTAAATAGCTAAAGTGGTACATAAGATTTCATAACACATCATTTTGGTCTCTGAGATTGAAAATCAATAGAAATGATCCCTGAGATTGTCCACCATTCATCATTTTGATCATTCCGTTAGAAACTCCGTTAAGTGTCCCGGAGCTCTTGGCCGGAAGTTTGAGCAATTTTCAAAGCTTCATAACTCAATCGTTTCTTAACTAAATTCGATCCATAATATATCAAAATGAAGATAGGAAAGTGTAGAACAAGATTATTCCATTTGGAAGCCCAATGGTTGCCGAAGATGGCTGGAAAATAGCCTCAAATGTGACTAGTCCGCAGGAAAAATGGAAAACTTGCTGGAAACTAGGTAAACTTTAAACGTTCATAACTTCTTCAATACTCAACGAAATCGAATGATTCAAAACGAAAATCATACTTCTCGACGAGACAAAGAGAATGATACCTTTTTCGACGGCTAACTCTCCATGGTTTGGCTGGAAACAAAGATCATAATTCTCAAGCCGTTTTCCGGTCAAATCACGGAGAGTTAGCCATCGAAAATGGTACCATTCTCTTTGTCTCATCGAGAAGTATGATTTTTGTTTTTGAATCACTAAATTTTGTTGAGTATTGAAGAAGTTATGAACGTTTAAAGTTTACCTAGTTTTCGACGAGTTTTCCAATTTTTTCGCGCACCAGTCACCTTTGAGGCTATTTTCTGGCCATCTCTAGCAACCATTGGGCTTCCAAATAATTATAATCTTGTTCTACACTTTCCTATCTTCATTTTGATATATTATGGGTCGAATTTGATTAAGAAACAATTGAGTTTCGAAGCTTTGAAAATTGCCCAAACTTGCGACCAAGAGCTCTGGGACACTTAACGAAGTTTTTAACGGAACCAAAATGATGGATGGTGGACAATCTCAGGGACCAAAGTGATGTGTTATGCAAATTTCAGAGACAATTTTGGCTATTTAGCCTAAATTTTACAAAAAATTTAAGTGTTTTTTTATTGAGCACTTACGTGATCTGAAATTTTTAAAAATTTTCACCAATCACTTTTAAGTTTTTAACTATCATAAGGGGCTACTTTTGAAGTGATTTTAAAATGATTGAAACCATTTTAGTGAAAATATTTTTTAAACCAATTTTTATTCAAAATGTAAAGAATTCTTGAAAAAGCACTTAAAAGATTTTATGCAAGAAGTACATACTTATTGTTTTTTTTTTGCAAAAAACACTTCAAATACTTTCGAAACCCAAAAATATTTAGTTTAAAAACACTTTCAATTATTTTTAAATCACCTTCAAACGAATCATAAGGCGCTTTGAAAGGTTGAACCTAATGAGAAGCAAACCAAACAAATAGGCCCAAACTTGATCGGCAAGCCCGAGGGAGGACCAGAACGGACTCCATGCGAGTACACTTTAAAATACGGATATTCGGGGCGGACCCGACTCCTCCGAAGCTCCGCCAAATAATCCATTAAATCGGAGACCTTTATATACCCAACCATAAAAACCCTAATCTCCCCACTTCCTCTGCAACTCCACCAGTCGCCAACCTCTCTGCGAGTTAGGGTTTCTCTTCGGCTTCAGCAAACATGGTGAGCTCAGACCTCTTTTTCTAAAATTGCATTTCCCAATCAACCCTTTTATTTACTTACAATTTCCTAACTTTTTTGTACGATTTTGCGGGAATCAATCTGACTGCTCGCGGTGGCTGTTTGTTGGTTAGGCGGATGTGGAGGCTGACGTTGCGGCGGCAGGAGTACCGAAGAAGAGGACGTTCAAGAAGTTCAGCTTCAGAGGCGTCGATTTGGATGCGCTTCTCGACATGTCGACTGATGAGCTTGTTAAGCTCTTTCCTGCTAGGGCTCGCAGAAGGTAGATACAGATTCTCCATTTGTATATAAATACGTATAAATACCTGTACTTGTTTGTATATATGTATCTATTTATACCTGTAAGTCTTTGCAATTGGTTTTGGTTATGCTGAATGATGTTCTGTTTTGGTGGGTGATGAATTGGGTTCAGGTTCCAGAGAGGTTTGAAGAGAAAGCCAATGGCTTTGATCAAGAAGCTGCGCAAGGCGGTAAAATTTCTTATCTTTTCGGCCTCTGTTTCGGTTATTTTTCGCTTAATTTGGCAGACATTGTTTGGATTATTCAGTAAATGTTTGGTGTTTTGAATTACGGGTTTAAATTTGTGATCAATTAGTTGTCTTAATTCTCAGCTTATGAATTTCGAAATCTTTATTGTGATGATTGAAAAGTTCGTATAGGACTAAACTAGAAATGAACGGAATTGAAATTCATTTTATCTTGGATTATATGAATTAGTTTAATATGAGCGCGGAGTAGATGAACTTGTTTTTGTTTGTTTTTTCATCGGCATCGGTACCTTCATTAGAATCCTTAATTTATGTGAATCATGTTCTTGTACATGTTGCACAATGCAACGATTTACCTTTTCTGTTACGAACGTTTGTTCCAACTCTATTGCCTTGCCATGTTTATTCATTTAAGACCAAGCTTCTGATGCAGCTCAGTTTCTCGAATTTTAGAGTTGAATATGTCTTACCAGTGTGAGATTCTTGTATTTGTATTCTACCAGAGGGTTTTCCATTGAAGTTGTTTATTTTTGCGCAGTTTTCCATTGAAGTTGTTTAGTTTTGCGCCTTAGTATTTCATGCTACAACAAATGGTTTCGCCTTAGTATTCTGTGTTTGGACTTCCATTATGTTCGTGTGATTCTGGTAACTTGTTAAGACCGAGTTTATCTTTGTTTGTATAAAGTGTTTGGATAAAATGTGCTTATAATTGTGATTGTGTATTTGTATTTATTGTTGGTTTTTGTTGTTTTTTGGAATAGAAACGGGAGGCCCCACCTGGTGAGAAGCCGGAGCCAGTTAGAACTCACCTCAGGAACATGATCATTGTACCTGAAATGATTGGTAGCATCATTGGTGTGTACAATGGCAAGACCTTCAATCAGGTTGAGATTAAGCCTGAGATGATCAGTCATTATCTTGCTGAGTTCTCCATAAGTTACAAGCCTGTCAAGCACGGAAGGCCCGGTATTGGTGCTACTCACTCTTCCAGGTTCATTCCCCTTAAGTGAAGTTTCTACCTCCTCGATCACTTGTTCCTTCCTTAATCTGACGTTGAGCGGATTTTATTAAGTTTGGATTTGGATTTCCCGTCATGGACATCTTTTGAATGTTTTATCATTTTGTAAACAATGACAAAGTAGACCGGCTTGTAGGATCTTATCGGATAAAGTTTTTCTTTCAATCAAGTTTATTAGTTTCTGAACGAATGTGTTTCATGATGACTATCCGGGTTCATGTCGTAGTAGAATTTTTGTTTCCGTAAGGAGGCTTCCAAAGAAGTGAACGTTAAAAATAGTGCTTTTCATAAACTCCAAGTTACTACATTTCACATGAAATACTTGTTAGCCTATGTTCGTCCTGTAAGGATGCTCTTCACGGCTAGAACTTTCCTGCAATGGGATGTCTGGCGGTATTCCACGTCACTGCCTCACTGGGCGGATTGTGAATGCTTATGCTCGCCTTGGTAGGTGACTACGAGCATTGCAGGGTCTTCAAGGCATCTCTGTACGTGTTTCCTCGCAGGACAGCCTCTAATGCTGCTGCATTGGTAGTATCCCCTACATCAATACCCGTCATGGTCAGATTGGAAACCACCATAAAAACTACTGCTTGTCTGGGTAGCGAAAGTAGAACCGTTACCTCGGATACAAGGAGCCCTTGATCGGCTTCTGCCCGTACTTCCTCCACGAGTACTCATCGGATGGAATGTCTGAAATCTTGTCACTAATGGCAGGGACCTTAAAAGATCTTTTCTCCTTCAGTTTCCTGTTAACAAAACAACATTAATCTTACCAATCAAATAATGAAGACCTGTAAACGTGAGTGCACTCGAGTTATAATCCTTAACTTGCAATTTAGATTAATTTAAAGTAGAATATCTCAGAATCAAAACTCGCCTCTTATTTGGAAAGTGGCATTTGCTACTGCTGCCACATTCCGCACTCCCATTTTCCACCACATCAATGCACCTCCTTTGCTGCTGGGAAATCTGACCGGAAACCCAAGGCACACCACCTATTAACCGAAAGGAATCTCCGCCGGTGATGGCGGCACAGCCGCCTATGCTCAAACATGACATGAACGATCTGGCCGACGTCGTGGAGGTTTTGCAGCTAGAGCTAGACCTATCAAATGCAAGGTTAATGCCACTGTTTCTCCCAGAGAACACCATTTCATCCCTATATTTCACCCACTGGGGGTGAAACTGTAATTTTGTTCTCTCTTCCTGGTGCTGTTGCAAAGTTTTTGTTTTGGGAACTGGGCTTCCAAGAAAAACTTTTTCTTTGTGAGGGGTTTTAGGGAAAGTAGGAGGGGAGAACTGGAGGGGTTTTGGTGAAGTATCTGAATAATTAGGGCCATCTAAGAAGATATTGTGAGGGAGAGGTAGTGGATTTAAGTTTTTCTTCAACTTTCTCACTCTTCCTCTTCCATGGCTGAGGAGAGAGAGAACTCTCTTGAACTTGAACACTGCCACCTCAGTCTCCGCCTGCAAATGTTTACAAGGTTTTGGTTTCCACAAGAGATTCAGAACTCTGTGGCAGCTCTCAACTGCTGCTTTGTTAGCTGCCTCAACCTCCTCCATTCTCTTTCTCTCTCTCTCTCTCTCTCTCTCTCTCCCCCTCTAAATTCTAAAAACCTTGCCAAAACCAGATTGAGAAGTACCCAAGAAAGAGAAAAGGTTGGGGGTTTTAGTTTTCGGAGGAAGCTTTCCAAGAAATAATTATCAGACGACCTGGTACATGACCTCGAGTTTTTACAGGTTTGGGTTTACTGTGGCTTAGAAAATTTACCAAAAGTACAGTACCGAGTACTGCTGTCCATGCTTTATTGAGCGAGTACAGATGCCCTATCTGATCTGTCTAGCTTGCTGCACTATCTACCATAGCCGATGCAGACTGTAAGGCATGCAGCGACGTCGATAGACGTGGCGGCATATGATTCATTTTGCGACAATGTGGTGCATAGGACCCTTCATCGTTTAGCTGCCGTACTCGCTTACATGATTATGTCTTGCAACTATTTCATTACGTGACAAAGTTTTTATTAGACAGGTAATTCACGTTTTAAACACGCGAGAATCATTAATTGATCGGGTTGCAAGAGAAAATCTCTCTACACTAAGAGGACTCAAGTTGTTTGGTCAGGATCACTGTAGGAGACGAAACTTCGATAAGAATATCTGACGAAAGCAACTCTCACAATAAATGAAACTATAGTGAAATTTAAATCAAACCAGATAACTTCCCACAAATGAGTCGACATAATTAGAATTCCCTTGCACAAGCTTTTCTCTATCCATTTGCATATGTGAAAGTAACACCACCAATCGATCCAAAGAATTTCTCCTTGTAGTATTTGGCCTTTTTTTTGCCACGCTTTTTTTTCAAGTTTTAACTAATTTTCAATGAATTGAAATGAGAAATTTACAAGGATGTCATATTTTGAGGACATTTTTGTGGGGACAAATTTGAAGACATTATTGATCAAATATTAACAGCATATCAACAAAATTATGAAAAGTGATCATTTCAACAACTGAATTTTGTCAGACCAAAGCATTTTTCAGTTATCTAATTTGATAAAATTTGAGGTGACAGTTTAGTGCTTAAGGTAGTGGCAAATGTTGGAACTTTTGATTATACCCCACTAATACAAGATTATAAACTTGCTTTTCGTTTTGAAAGACTTCCTACGAGAATTATTATAAATAAATTAACCCATCATATCAGAGATTAGTGCAAGATGACCAAATTCTATCTCTGCTAATGTCATTTCAAAATCATCTACTATATATCCACCAAAAAATTCTAAAAGGTGGTGTGACTTTTGGATCACCAATGATTTACTAGGCCAGTTTTCATTTCCCTAACACCTACATTATGCATTTCACTTGTCCATTTGATTAACAACTACTATTTTACTAAGGGAGATATTTTTCAGTATGTCGAGAGCACGCTCCAGTATACCAACTATTATATTGAGAATTCCAAGTGAAAGAAATTCATTAACTATGCAATTAATCAATGGTAGTGCTATCCACACACATGTTTTATCTCCTACACGCTTCTTGTTAATTTCTGTCTTTTGATACTTTTCATTTCATTCAATCCGACAACAAAAAATTGAGAGGTGTGTGTGTGTGAAAGGTAAAAAAAAAAAGTGTAAATAGCACCACCACTAATCAAACTGCTCTGCAACTGAAAACAAAACCTAGATTTGTTTTCAAACTGCTCTGCAACTGAAAACAAAACCTAGATTTGAACCAAATATTTTTCATATTTCGGCAACTTTTATACAAAACTGACGCCCAATCGAATGCGCTCCCCGACGAAGTTAGGCCAGTTTTTCGCCGACTCCCACAAAACAGAGGCAGCAAGCCACCCGTCCAGCCTCTGAGGCCACCTAGGGGCGCCCCGAGGCGAGTATTTTTAAACACTGATATGTATATATGTATGTATGTATATGTATCTACATATATTACATGCTGTGGTGGTCATCTTCGTGTTGTTAATATGCTCCGTTCAAATTAGAAAAGACTGGGCAGACTTTGTGGATTTCCCTTTGAATTATTCTTGAAATAATAAAGGGTTTTATGCATGATGTGTAAGCCTCTGTGAAATATCTCTCTCCAGTCTCCACTGTATGAGCTTTAGAAGGGAAAGGACAGCCCCTTTTCGAGCTCCTTCTCATCCTTTCATCCACTGGAGAGACATTATGGGCGGCTATCTGGTTAGATCAGCTCTTATATTGAATGAAATTAGTACCGAGTCGAGTGAGTCTAGAATATTTGTCTTGGCGACACAGTGAGGAAATTATATTCTAAGGAGATCGATGAGGAATTGGGTTAGGTCACACAATGAGTCATTCACTAAGTATCAAACTCAACATAAATATAATACGTTATCATCATCCATGTGAGCTAACTTAAGGCCTCTAACTAATAAAACAAAAGTATCACTGGACCATAATACTAATTATTCAACCCACGAGGGGCTCGAGACCACCGTTCTGCATAGCTCCATCACTGTTTTTAGTCAAGATCACCCAGGTTCCTACATAGCTCCGCCATTTCCATCTTCATTTTGAGGACTTGAAATCGTTTTTCACTCTCTTACTACATAGCTTGTATTAAAATACAATAAAATCTATCAATAATATTATTTATAAAGCAATAACCTCCTTATGGTCATAAAAAATTATGGTCCCAATTTGGGCCAGTTACATATAGAAATAAACTTTACACTGTAATAAGTTATAATTTTTCGAGGTCCCGATTTAAGGAAACGTGTCTCTACATGTAAATAATTGTCAAGAAGTACAAAAATATTTGAAATTAAGATGAACTACAATATTTCTCTAAGTTATCTGGGACAATGCTTTATTTTTTTAAAGTTGATGGTTTAGCTTCTCAGACATGTTTATAGCTTTTTGGAATGAAAATTTAGTATTTTCGTACTGTCATTCTTAGGATTATCTCCTTCCACTTCTTGTTTAACTAAAGCACACACAACTTGACATTAGTCACTCACATATCGAAATATAGAAAATTTGAAGTGTACAATCAAATATTTTGAATGCCAATAACGATTCCATTACTTTTCTAGTCAATTACTTTTTGGTCAATTTTTTTTTTTGACCCCCTTGTTTTACAAAACAAAGAAAGAAGTTTCTCTCCATTTTTTTTTTTTTTTTTTGTTTACATCTTGAAAATTCGTATGCTCCACTACTAGGTCAAAAATAATATGTTTTAATTAAGGAACCGTTACTATATAAAGGTTATACCGTAAAAGAAAAAGAAAAAAAAAATTAAAAAGAAAATGAAAGTGATTTAGAATAGTGGGCCGAAGTGCAAAGTGTAAATGTGAAATGGGCTCATAAGGGAATACCGTCTTCAGTCGGGCCACAAGCAAACCCGACTTCTCCTTCTCCTTCCTTTTCCTCTCCACTCCAGTACTTTGACGACCAAAGGGACGACGTGCAACGTTCCCTGCGATCGTGGCCCGACCGTTTCAGAGACATCAAAACAATGACGACCCTTTTTCGCATGGATTACAACGATTCGTGGCGTGGAAGCGATTAAATACTTCCTCAATCGCCCGGAAAAGTCCTGGTAAAACCCTGAAACGTAATCGTCATTAGCATATTTTGTGACATTTGGATTGCTTAATTATTTGTAATTTAATTCAGTTTAGTTAAAGAAATGGCTAATTAAATTCAATTTGGATTGATGGCAAATGCATTTGTATATATTTCTAGGAAGTCAGTTCACGCTGGATGGGGATTATTCATAAGAATTAGATAAATGGCTAATTAGATGATTTAATGGAATTTATCTGTATTTTTCTCCGAAATATGGTAGGATACAACAAGGTAGGGTCACAATTATTTTTTTTTGTTGTTACAAATGATAGGATAATCTATGCTATATTCTAAACTATGTGTAGAGAGGAGTGTTTGAACGCTGGATGCAATGGGTTGAAGTGGAAGGCCGAATCCACGAGGGTGGATCACCGGTTTCAATTTTTTCCGAAAGTACTACGCGAAATTATTCACTTTTTCCTGGAGTTTTAAAGTGTTTGATGAAACCAACAGGTTATTCCTTCTCGAATAATATGGACTGATATCTCATTCATTCGTTTTTTTTGGTTCAATTTTCATGAATTTTGCGTGTGTATGGTTTCTTTAGTTCACTAGTCTACAACAACAACAACAACAAAGCCCTTTCCCATTAAATGGGGTCGGCTATATGAATCCTAGAATGTCATTGCGCTCGGTTCTGTGTCAATAGTCTGAGGCGAAAGAATTTTGCATCAATGTATCGGCATGCATGAAGAAAAAGTATATCATAAAATTACACAAACACTGGTATTTGCAACTAGAAAAACATGAATTTTTGTGGTGTACTGGTGACCTGTGTTTGGCGTCTGTTTTAAGTCCTGCAGATGATTAAGCCTTTACATTCCAGAGGCTTTTTCTCTGTTTTTGGTTGGTTCTTATGAGGCAAATGAGCTTCATTTCACCCATTTTTTATTCAGGACTTAAACGTAAATTTTGAGTCCAAGACTCCGAATTTGCATCTCATTGTTCGCAAGTGTGTGTTTCTTCATTCTGTTTCGTTGTATTTAGCATAGTAAGGAAATCAGTCGAATATGGTGTGCCATGTCTTGTTTATAGCTTTTGGGACTCTATTCACTTGGTGTTCTGGTACCCTCGGGTGCTCATCTGTCCTAGACACCCACTTTGTGTGAATCAGAGTAGGTGAGTTACAACTGACTCGTGTAATTTCCGTTTCCTGCTATTTGTGAATTTAAATTCCTTGTATTTGTGCAATATTCTCTTGTTTAATTATGTCTATTTGGGAGTTAAGGATTTAGTTTCTGTTTCTTATTAGTTGTAGTTTGGTTTTTTTTTTCCTGAGCAGTTAAGCAGTACCCTTCTTTTTTGTTTCCTCGTGTAGTTTGCTTTCTGGGGAGTATAGTCTACTAAGTTCTGTATCGATTCTCTGAACCGAGTCTTAGATCTTGACCTGGTCTACTTTCTGTGGAGTTAGTTGGAAACTGGTTACATGCTTTTCTGGGTTTGGAACCCTAGTCCTTTGCGAATGCAAAACTGAAAATAAATTCTAATTGGTTTTGATCGGAGATATTTTATGATATACGACTTTGTTCGATTTTCATTTTGTTGGTTTTTGCAGTGATTTTCCTACTGTCCTGGAATTTTTTTACATATTTTCTCAATGTCCTTGTATTCTTTACGTAGGTTTTTTTGTGGTGAAGATATTTTCTTTTACGTGGTTTGGGAAAATGAGAATATATGTACTTTTTGGCGAAGATATTTGTTCACGTATGTTTTATGTAGATTGGGAAAAGGAGAAGCTGTTATTAGAAGTTGATTTGTGAGTTTAGGTTTGCTTTGTAGAGATCCTTGATGGAACTTTGGTTGGGTGAACTTGCAGGTTTCAACGCGTCACCGTCGCAGATCAATGTCCAGTTTATTGAGTCCCAATCGTCCAGGCATAGCAGTGCATTTCGAATCATCTGGATCGATCAAGTCATCGTAATGCAATTTCGTTTAAAATGGTTGTAATAAAACTTTGTAAGTACGATAACTAATTTGGAAGCCAAATGACCAGTAAGGCTTAATATTGTAGCCTTAGATGGAGCCTTCACAGAGGCACCTAAAGTTAGGTTATTGGACGACAACCATCACCTCAATGGTTTGGTCCAAACAACAAAATATTACCAAAGCCGGGGAGAAAGGAAAATTTTAATTTCTGCTGGACTTTTAGCGGCGATCTTTCTGACCGCCGCAAAAACATTCTTTTGCGACGACTAGTGACAATTTATATCGTCGTAAAAGACATTTTCCGTTTTTTAAATATTAAAATAGTCACTAAAAGTCAAAAAGTCGTCACTAAAACTATAAAACCGTCGCAACAGATCCAAAATCGTCATTTTAAACTTAGAATTGCTAACCTTGTGCTGATTCAAGTGTTTTTGTTTCTGTTTTCTACAGGACATTTATCTTCCTCCCCTTAAATACACTGGGAGTTAAGTAAAATCATGAAAGAACTATGTTATGTCTCATTTTTCTGATGTTATACCTGCAATCAAAGTAGGAATTCAATCAAATAGCTTGTGAAATACGTTTATTTGCAACTAATGCTACTGTGAATTATGGCATGCTTTCCAATCTATTATCTGAAGCATTCATGTAAGACGTTGCAGCCAAATTATACCCATTTAATTCATAAGATTAATTTTAATCTTCGAGTAGGTCTCACAACAAGAATTCGCAAAGCCTTCGGCGTAGCGCGATGTATCAACAAAGCCGAGCAAAACAATCACAAATAGTTTACACAACTAAGACATATATCTACTTGCGGATTTAAGTTTGGAATGCATATTTGCGATGGTGAGAGTCATCAATATCAGCTTGAGCTATAGCAAGCAAGCACAAGCATGCGCATCAAATTCACAGCCTTGACATATTTTCCAATTTTTTTTTCTGCAGGATCGATGCAAGACGTTGCAGCCAAATAGCGAAACGGATCTACAACGACGTTGGGGTAGTATTGGTGTTAGATCAGTGGCTAGCTCTGCCGTTTGTAAAATTTCCATCTTTTTATGCTACATTCTAGTTTTTTGGATTGGGGTTTAGGGTTTAGAAAATATAATCAGGCTCACAATGTATGAAACTCAGAAATCTTTGTTTGTTTCTCGAGAAAGTATGACACGCCCCGATTCTGATGTTCGGAGGGATATCAGGATGGTCACGTGTTGGCCGACACCCAAAGGTGACGCAAGCCATTTATGAATGCAAATGCTGAGGTCATGCACCTAATTTGTAGCAAGATAAAAGAATGTGACAAAAATAATATTTCAACAATGAATTCACAATGATAATGCATGGCATGATCAGAGCATATTCTAAATCAGATTACAACGGAAGGTGTTATTACACGAGTGATCAAGCAGAGGGGATAACACGATGTCACTGGTAGGGGAATGCCTCGTACGTTGGATCGTAGTCCTCGTTCCTATGTCACAAATATGAGTGGACCAAGTTGATATATATATATATATATATATATATATGTATGTATGTATGTATGTATAAAATACACAAACTGTTAATGAACATACTAACCCCCAAAGTTTTATGAAAACTAATAGCATAATAAGTGATAGGTTTTCCCTAGCATGCCATAAAATATCTCATAAAACAAAACTCATATATAGTGTGCTAGCTAGTGGTATCATAATCGCCCGAAGGCAAAACATAGAACTCTTCCTTTAGAACACTTCCTTCACAAATATCAATCACCCGCAGGCTCCTACAGCACCCACTCGAAGGCTTATATAGTATCAATCGCCCGAAGGCTCCTACAACACCCACCCAAAGGCATATATAGTGACCACTACATACGCACAAAACTGTTGAACATAGTCTTTCCAAACATAGATATATATATTTCAAAGACATCTTCATAGTATAAAGTCATCCATCATCTATACTATAAAGAAGTGTGTGAAAACATGTTCTAAATAGTATATCATCATCCATCAGATAACCTACAAAGAACATGGGTTTGATAGAAAATATGGTATTCCAAAATAAGCTTAGTATAGCATGATAATCAATTTCTCATAAAACGTTCACCAAACGTATTCTGTAAATCATGCTTTTCATGTATGCATTTCTACTATTAAAACATGCATTTTAGAAGGGGTCCACTCATATATACTCCGTTGAAATAGAGCCGTACGAAATAGGAATAATGGAATCATCGCTAGTAATTGCACCTAAACACATAAAAGGGTACAATTAATAAAACTATACTCAAACGATTTAATTTAGGAAAACGGACGTCAGAAATGGATCAAGGACGTCGAAATTAGCCTAGGAAGGGTTCCGGACGAAAACCCGAAAAAATCAACGTTGACCGATGACCAGTCAACAGTCAACGTTGAAAAGAAGTCAACGGTCAACGGGTCCGAGTTGGGTCAAAGTCAACGGTCAATGCGTTATGGTTAGACCGATTTAGGGTTGGATCTAGGTCACGGGTTGGGCTTAGGGTTTTAGGGTTTTTGGGCTTATAGGTCTCTGGGCTTGGGCCCAGGTTCACACGGCCCGAACGGCCTGGGTTTTTGGGTAAAAAGGTGAACGGGCCTAAGGCCCTAAAGGAATTAGCCCAAGGGCCTTTGGGTTTTAGAACTTACTAAATAAAATAATAAATAAATAAAAGGGTTGGGTTGGGTTTCTAACGGGCCTAAGCCCGAGTCCTAAAACGGCCTTTGGTCCAAATGGGTTAGAATGAACCGACCCAACGACTTGGGCTCGACGGAAACAAAAGGCGCTGGAGCTTCCCTAGCTCTGATCGATGGTAGAACCAAACCCTAGACTCCGATCTAGGTGTCAAATTAAAGAGGGAGGTGAGAGGAGTAAGATGGTACCTTGGGTTCGCTGTGGAACAACTGGTAGTGGCCGGAATTTAGGTTTGGTGTCCTCGCGATTAGCAGGAGGTTTTGGGTGGATTTGAGCGTCCCGGAGCTTGCAGTGACGAGGAGAAGTGAAGGAGGGAGAGCACGAAGGTGATGGTGGCGACTGTCGTCGGGATGGCTTGAGTGTGCCTGGGTGGATGGTGGGAGGGTGAGTGCGAGAAAGATAGAAAGAGTTAAGAAAGAGAACTGAAAGTGAGAGAGAGAAAAGAGAGATCGAGGAAAGAGAGAGAGATAGTGATGAGTTAGGGGGTTGCCACGTGGCAGCGCGGGGGAGAAAGAGAATCCAGATAAAGGGTCCATATTAAAATCGGATAAGGGACCAAAATGTAAAAATCAGCAAACCTTTGGGGAAGTTATGAAATTTACATTAATTTAGGGGTGGGGTTTAACAAAGTAGACGGGAAAGTGTAAAACATCTGAACGATTCTTACTCATTGAAACAAAGTAGAGAGGAAAAAACAAGAAGAATCTAACAAAATGATTCCTTCTATGTTCTTTCCGATTTCCACAATTTACAGTTGGTAATATATCGTGTATATAAGATTTATATACTAGAAGAGAGACTAATATACAAATTATAACTTTATCATATAGCTCACCGGGAAGAACAAACTCGACTTCTGCATGAACTTGTTTGTGTAGCGTACAGATTGCTATAGAATCATATATAGGAACAAAAAGTAGATAAAGCACTACATACAACGAAATCAATTAATCTTGTGAGTTGGTCTGATCCCATATTGCTTTCTCTTACAGCAAATCATGAATTAAGAGCATTACGTTTATCGACCTTTTGGATTGACAATCTGTGAGAAGATTGCGCTGGTGTCGTCGGTGTTCTCATTTGTGGTGGTGGTGGTGGTGTTGTTGTTGTTGTTGGTTTCTTCTCCCAAATCACTGTCGCTTCCGAGGCTCAGGTTGCTGTAGTGTACTGCCATCATGTTCTGGTTTCTCAGATGGGGGTCGTCAGAGTCACTTCTTTGGCGTCTTGAGGAGTGACTCGAGCCATCTGTGTCGTCCTGCAACTGGAGTGCAAACTCAAGGTTCCACAAAATGTCGTTCAAAGTGGGGCGGTCGAGTCCTGAGTCGGACAAGCACTTCTCAGCTGTGTCTGCGAATTTTTTGACGCTTTCCATGTTGACTTTCCCCTTGAGGTGAGGATCAATGTTTTCCTCCACAGTTCCTTTTCTTTGGCAATGAAGAGCCCAATCTGCTAGACTGACCTGTTCCTTCGACAGGCTAGGGTTTAGAGCTGGCCTTGCGAACAATGCCTCAAAGAGGACAACTCCGAATGAGTAGACATCCGATTTTTCTGTCAGTTGCTGCCTCCTGAAGTATTCGGGGTCCAAGTAACCGAAGCTACCCTTCACCACTGTGCTAACATGGCCTTGATCCATGTTCGGACCAGTCTTCGAGAGCCCGAAATCAGAAACCTTGGCCTCCCAATTCTCGTCCAAGAGAATGTTTGTCGTCTTGACATCCCTGTGGATGATGGTCCACCTAGCCCCGGTGTGAAGGTAATGAAGTCCCTTTGCTGCTCCAATACAGATCTCCAGCCTTTTCTTCCATGACAGTTGACCTTGAGATTTGTTGCCCTTGTACAGATGCTCTCGTAGAGTGCCGCGTGACATGTAGTCATAAACCAAACACATTTCATTATCTTCTTCACAGAAGCCAATCAGAGAGACCAAGTGTTTATGCCTCAGCTCTGAAAGCATCTCAATTTCGGTCTGGAATTCGTGAACTCCTTGCTCTGATTGTGGGTTGGATCTCTTGATGGCCACTTTTGTTCCTCCATCGATGACACCCTTGTACACCTTTCCGAATCCTCCAACACCAATGACATTAGACTCGTCGAAATTCTTAGTAGCATGTTTCATCTCAGGGAAGGTGAAACGCCTACAACGGCCTTGAGCAGCTGACGAAAGGTGGGCGCTACCATTGCTCTTGCCTGAGGTTGTGGATTTGGTGCCACTGGTATGGGAATTGCCGTAGATTGGTAGCCAGCTAGAGGTGTGTGTATCGCTTCCCAGGGCCTTTTTCTTTCGTTGGTACACAGCAACGCACAATGCAGCAACTATGCCGAAGGCTGCAGCTCCTCCAGCAGCTCCACCAATCACGTGAGCTTTGTTGGTTCCGCTTCCTTCCTGTTGCTGCTGACTTTGAAAGCTTCTCTGCTTTTCCTCAATATCCTTTGCCAACATGTCGGAAATCTTGGGATTAAGGCCTGCCAAGTTTTTACCTTGTTCGAGCTTGAATATCTCCACCCCATTGAGGAGCGAATCATAGAACTCCGGACTTGATTTCGTTAAAGGATGCAAAGCTAGCCAAAGGTCACCGTTAAAATCCTCATCTGCCGCTACCACATAATCTCTGTATGTAGTCACCCCCTTTCCTCCTGTCCATCCGATCACATCTGCTCCAGCCTCGGCGGTTAGATTATTAATGTAGATTGTGAACACCATTTGATTGGTTTTGGTGAGGTAAAAGTCACAGAAGTGTAACCTCACAAGGTACATGAATTTGGCATCAACTTGGTTGAACACCCATGTGAGGTTGTAACCGAGGTTGACGTCCTTGTTCTCACCCATTGATCTTGAGGTCCTGTAGATATCAACGGGAGCAATGTATGGTGGCATATTTTTGTAGTTGATTTTTACATCCTTGGCGGCCTCATTGGTGACCCCAAGTTGCGCACCATATACATAAGCAAAGTCATCGTACCATGTCCTTGTTAGGTCGCCGGAGTCATTGGTTGGGGAAACAAACTGTCCCCCAATATTCACTCTAAACATGGTCTGCAAATTTGACCTCTTGCCGTCAAAAGTCTGGTCCGAAGACCCGACTATTGCAGCGTCGCCGAACATGTCAGGCGTTCCAATCAGCTCAATGCCATTCACAAATGCAAACCCTGAGGAAGGCGAAAAGGTGACCTCTAGAGAATCCTTGTTGAGGGGTGCCAGAAGATACTCTCTCATGATATAAGCTTGTGTAAGGGCCTTGCAAGTGATTGAAGCGCTAAAGTTTTGCAACAGAGTGATTCCATTGGCGACGACCGAAAAATAGGACCCCTCAGCGTTGTTGCTGCCGTACACAGCCGGATAGAAATAAAGTCTAAGCATGTACCGCTGCTTCGGTTTCACAGGCAACTTGTATGTGGCATTCGCGGTGAAAATCCTGGCTTTCATGTATGGAACCTCGGAAAGAAGCTCAGGGTCCTGGTACTGCGCTTGTGCCGAGGTTGTCTTTGATGAATCGGCAAGGTACTTCGTGTCTGGTTGCCATTTCCTCCCATCTGCATCTTTGGCCTCATTTTCATAGCCGCAGCCAAGGATCAGCGGATCTGAGCCCGAGTTTGCAGCATTGAGGCCGTTCAAGAGCACGGATGCAAAGGCGAGAAAGAGAAGAATCGGGGTTTTGATGTACATTGCTAGCTAATAAAAAATGAAAACGAAAAAGAAAAGAGAGACAGAGACCGAAAGCTCTGTCAACGGCGTACAGGAAAACGGAGGACTCTGATCAATGAAGAAGTACAAGAAGTTCTCCTGTACGCCCGGAGAAACGACAAGGGTTTCTTTGGTCTCTGGTTTTTTCTTTGTATTCTTCTTCTATGGATGATGGTGTTAACCTAAGCCATACCTAACCAAACGCAAAAACGGTTAGCAGTCTTACCTGGACCTCAAGGACTAGACCAGGCAAGACGAAGACATAGGCAGAGGGTTGATTTTTTGGCACTCTTCTATTTTTTGTAAAATGTGGGTTCTTTTGTTTGCTTAGTTCGTTTCGATTTCCATTTCTGAGGCGTCCGTTGTTGTTTGACAGACGGGAATGTAGTCGGAAACCAATGGTTCGGAGCAAGAATCGAAGATTGTACAGGTTTTGGTTGGTCGTAACAACGTCTGAAGTTTCTGTTTGTAGTAAAAGAACATGCTAAATTTAGCAATTTCTTTATAATGTTTTTGTTTCATAATTTTGGAAAAATGTTTTGTGGAACCAATGAAATCTGAAGGAAGGAATCCACCGTTGATTTCATGGACTTATGAGCTGACTTCAATCGGTATATTGATTTCCATATGAACGTACCCCAAAAGCTGGAGAAACTACTCTAGCGACCTCCTGCAATGTAGAACAGGAGAATTGCCCAAGCTTTTAGGTCTCTTTGAAGTGAGATTTTTAACCCAATGACTAAGGGCTGGTGTGAAAGATACCTTTAAAATGATTGAAAGTGTTTTAGAGAGAATATTTTTGGGTTTCAAAAGCATTTGAAGTGCTTCTTACAATAAACGCTAATCGTAGAAAGCACGCTTTCAACCATTTTAAAAAGACGGTATTACGTAATGACTATAAAAGTTGAATTTGGGAAAAGATTATACTTTTTTATCAACTAAGTGTTGTTTAAAAGATTCGAACTCAAGACTTCTTATCACAAAGTAGAATTTGGATGTCGGTAATTACAGTAGTACTTTAAAGATATTATAATAAGTTAGATGTTATTGACACTTCCGAATCATCATTTGAAACTTCTCTTTAATAAAACACGAGAGAAAATGCACACAAAGGAGTGTAGGATAATAATTTTTGTTTTGTGCCAATAACAACTCTCTACATGAATGTTAAATTAAGAAACTTATTAGCAATGAATAGTAAACATCTAGCACTACTCTCTCTTGTTTTTTGAATATGGAGGAGTGTATGATGACTGTTTTGGAGTACTAGTACTAATAACTCCCTTAATTTCAAAAGATCATTCAAAACTTCTCATTAATTAAAACACTTACAAAAGAAAATGCATACAAAGGGATTGGAGGGTAACATTTTTTGGTGCCAATAAAGGCTCTCTACGTGAGTTGCAACTCCTCTTTGGGGCAGTCTCTAACGACTATTTTGGAGTACTATTAATGGAGTGCTACTAACAAATTCTTAAATTAAAAGATTATTCAGATGTGTTACATTATTCATTGTTATTTAAACAACATTTACTTATCACATTACCTGCAATGCAAAGGTTGTCAACAATTAGTTCAAATAGTAGCACTCGTGTGTAAAGAGAAGTGATTTGTGCACATTTATTTATTTATTGTGTTTCTAAATTTTAGAGTGAATAAATCAAAAGAAAATTACAGAATATGAAATAAATAAATAAATTGTCCTCCATGAGCAAATTGGTCGGAAAATCCTAATTATCCACAATATTAAAAAATTGTAACTTCCAGAATGATACTGTTGTCAAAGGTAGGTAACCATTGCTCATGTTATCATTCTTTTTTTAGTATCACCAGCTAAATCCAAGGACAAAACGTACATAAATTTAGGGAGCATGCCTGCACACGATATTTGTCAGAATATGAGAAGATATGTACGTGCTATGTACCCTCCAAAATTAACAAATTATTTAGGGAGGGTTTTGGTTAGTGACAGTTAGAAATGGATGGTGGAAATGGCAACGGATATGCGTGGCCACCGCAGGTCCATCCACCCCCGATGTCCCCATTAAAGCCCTTCACACAACATCTGTGTTGAGCTGGTCGGGTTGGTGAGAGATCATGCACCTCAGAAACCCTAAATTCCTCTGATCCTTTTCTCCTTCTCATTATCTTTTTTGGGGAAGAAATAAAACACCGCCACCCCACCCCAACCCTCCAACCCGGCCCCATACCACACTCAGATCGAAAGACCGACCTTGTCTGGTTGGTGCGGCGGCTTCCTTCTATTGCCGCTGTCACCACCACTACCTCCGTATTAAGAACACACACACACATATACACATACATAAACCTTATACCATACATTCAATACCATACACCAACACGTACGTACGTGCATGCATTTGGTTAATCAAGCAACCTCATCGTTTGTTTAATTAATTTTTAGTTACGTAAAAATGAAGGACGAGAATTTACACGGACGGAAGATGTCGTCATCGTCGCCATCACTATCCCTTTCGTCCTCCTCCGAGGAGCTCCAGCACATGCCGCTGGTGCCACCCAAGATGTTGAACCGGAAGCGCCTGAGCAAGCAGCTGTCCATGTGCGAGACGCCTAGGGACATCGCCTGGGAGAGGCGGCGGCGCCAGATTCTCAGCCAGGAGAGGAGGATGCACGGGATCAGAGACTCCGAAGACATGCATCTGACCGACGAGGACTTGCATGAACTCAAAGGGTGCATTGAGCTAGGGTTTGGGTTCAATGAGGAGGAAGGTCAGAGGTTGAGCGCTACCTTGCCCGCTCTTGACCTTTACTTCGCTGTCAACCGCCAGTATTCCCTGAGCCCCGTGTCCACGCCGAATAGCGCTAGCTCCCGCCATTCTACGTCGTCAATGGGTGGACATTCCTTGTCGTTTGGAAGCCCTACGAGCGATACCGATGCATGGAAGATATGCAGTCCAGGTATGACGACTTTCTATCATAACAAAAGTATGATAAGAGAACTTTTTTTTTTTTTTCAATAAATATACACAATATTTTAGAACTTTATCTGTCAAATGGGAAGGATGTTTCAGGCTTTGAGCTGCTTCTATCTTTGTGAAGAAAAATATCATCAAACTATCAATTCATAAAATATGAAATATGAGAATTTCATAAAAGAAAATATGAAATATGAGAATTTAATATTATTGTTTACCATACTATGCATGGATATTGTAGACAATTGATGGTCATAGAATTAGTTTTTTAGATTTTAAACTTTTATTGTATTTTACTCTGAACTGTTTGTTTTGAAAAATATTAGTTTGATCTTGTGGATTTGTAGGTGATAATCCTGAACAGGTGAAGACCAAATTGAGGCATTGGGCACAAGCTGTGGCTTGTTCAGTGATCCAGTCTTCCTGAAGAGTGGAATCATCATCAGATGGCTTTGCTTGTACAGAGGACTAAAAAGCAAAAGCAAAAACATGAAAAAAAGAGGTTGTTCTTGTTCATGAGTGAGTGGTGCAGTTTAAGGAAATTGAAGTGTGAGATGGCTTTGCTTGTACAGAGGAAACTATTTATACTTTCTAGAGAGAGAGAGAGAGAGAGAGAGAATTCTACAGGGAAAAAAAGGAGAAAGGAGATCGAGAGGAGGAAGAAGATCGATCGAGGTCGGCTTAAGGTTATGCTTAATAAGGATTTCTTGATTAAATTGTGCTACTAGTTACCATCTAAGAGAGATTGAACATGTTAAGCAGCATGTATGCAAAAAACTGCAAATTAGAAGGATCTATTGGCACTCATCAGACCCTTCTGGTTGGTTTGGTTGGAGGATTAACGTATATAATTTTCTAATTACTTTTATAATCCAATTAAATTTCTCTTGGGTGCTCTGCACAGCACTTTTATCATGTAAGATATCTTTGTTGGGACACATAGAGAGTTGATGATGTATATTGGGGACATCTAACATGCAACCACACCAGTAGCACATCCGGCCTCATCGATCAAATATGAAAGTGGAATTGGAGGAATGTACTGTATATGAAACAATTACCTTTAATAAATAGAACTCTTCTTAGAAATTTTTGTTACTTCTTATTATTTTTTCTTAAGGATTAATTGTTACTTTTTATTAGATATAGATGCTAATTGTAAAGACGTATTGCAATGATCATAAATTACAATATTTTTCATACCAATATTTGTCAAATGGAAAGGATGATTCAGACTTTATGCTTCTTCCATCTTTGTGAAGAAAAATATCGTAATATCAGCCGCAATAGGTGACAACAAAGGATTTTCAGCATTTGGCTGCAAAACAAAAATAACCACACAATGAAATAATATAATCAAATCTCACCACATATTTCAGTGAGATAAAGAAGACCCTTCGATCTAATATAATTATCAAGGAACGCTTTACCAGAACTAGTGAACCAAATATTAAAACTGAAGGTGAACAAATCCTACACAAAAGAGAGTTGTAGAGAATATATGCTGCATAAAACGAGTGTCCTACAAAACTAGAACAAAGAGAGGCCTAAAAGCCTGAAAGTGGTAACAGCAAACATAGTCGAGTTGCTGCCCGAAGGCTTGCAAGCTCAAGAAAGCCTTTAAAGCCAAGATACCTAGTCTGCAAGATAAAGGTAGGAAACTGCACAATCCGTGCCTATCTATCTAGGAAAGAGAAATGTGAAGGACAACATCCCTAACCAGGAAAGGACAATGCTCAAAGGAACCTTCCCTGCAGAACTGCAAAGCAAATAAGCACCTAAGTAAAACAAGCATCTTCATAAAAGCTTACATTAGTATGGTGTTCTAACAAAACTTTCACGGCATCTTGTTGTCCATGACCGTTGCCCATCCCTACTGGTGCCAAGGTAAATATTAGTGTTGGTGGTGCAACCCCTTTGCACATTGCTGCTGATATTGGGAACACACAGATTTTACAGTTATTGTTAAAAGGTGGAGGTGATCCCAATATCACTGATGAGGTAGTTAAACATCCCGACGTATGAATTATCTTTCCTAATATTAGAAAATGGTGATTTCCTTCTTTTCTAATTTAGATTTTTCGATCTTTTAGGGGCGCATAAATTAATGGTGACTTTTTGTTGCACCATAGGATGGTTTGAAGCCGATACAGTTTGCAGCTGGAAGAGGGAACCGCAGTGCCGTTGAGATTCTCTTTCCTTTGACATCAAAAGTTGAAAGTATCCCAAAATGGACGGTTGACAGCATACTTGAGTATATGCAATCTGAAACAAGCAGACAACAGGTACCAAGATCTTGACATTTCGTAGTATACATCCACAAAACTACATAATGATTGGATTGCTTAGATTTGTCCCCATATTGCCTCATAAACTATGTTTTGTATATGAAGTGTGAACACATAACATAACATAACAGGATTCCCTGGATTTGGCTCCCATTCTTGAAGCTAACTCTGACTTGTCGAAATTTTCAGGAAGCGGTGGGAAATTTTAAGGAACTTTATGTGTCAAAAGACTCTGCATCCCTGAAGAAAGAGCTGCCTGAGGTGCTCACTTTTACCCTGTAACTTAATGTACCATACTGGCTTATAGATACTTTGCGCATTCTTGATATATGATTAGCTTAAGATTTATATGGTCTTGTGTTTACGTCTAACGACTTATTCAGGTGACACCTGAAGCGAAGAAGAAAGCTGCAGAAGCAAAATCAAGAGGAACCAATGCTTTCAAAAGAAAGGATTATCAGATGGCCATTGATGCATATACACAGGTGTAGTATACATCTTACTCTGCTACTAACATTAATCATTTTCCCAGTTGTGTTGCAACTTACCAGTTACGATTTTCTCTTGGTCATTCCCACTCCCATACTTAAGACAAATTTATTGGATGACTGTGGGTCCTGTTCTACATAGAATAGTCTAAGCGGTTGAAGCTGGACGAAAATTTCATGGCGCTGATAAACAGAAACCGTAGTTTTCCCGATGCTCGTATCCTAAGGTGACCATTCCGAAGGAGGCGGACCGGCGATTGTACCGGATTGAGATCGTTTCCTCTTCTTTCTTGAGAGTGGCGTGTTGTTCTAATTAGGAACTGTGAGATTGCTGTAGTTCTTGCGGTAGCTTGCCTTTCTTCAGTTCTGTTAGGGATGAATGTTTGTGATTTTGTGGTAGTGATATTTTGAGCATTTTGTACCCTTTTCGTTTTTGCCTATTGCTCTTCCCCGTCTAACTCGCGTAAGGCTTGCCGAGAACATCTCCAAATGAGATCTCAAATTGTCTAAATCAGCAATAATGGTAATAAAAGATAATATTCATATTTTCCAACCGAGAAGCCGAATCTAACGTGGTATAACATAGATTGACATCTCTTCTCCCCCTTGCTGTCAAATTTGACAGCACCTTTAGATTTTTTTAATTAATTATTAAATACCTTTTATTACTTTAAAGCATTATCCTTTTTTTTTTTTCATTCTCAATGCAAAGAAAGTACATGAATTATTATTTTATGTTTAAAATTTGACATACCGGTTGGAGAGAAAAAGTTTAAAATATGTCAAAATGTCATGTAAGCTTTCAAATTTAAATTTTCGGTTTAAAATTTGACATCTCCTTTGAAGATGATCTAACCAACTACTTAACTCACGTTTAAAATGTTTTTTTTTTATAAAAAAAATTAATCAAAAACACCTTTGAAAACAAATTTTTATTAAAAACACCTAATAATCATTTAGTTAGTGTTTTTGATTAATAAAATCTTCCAAGGAATAAGATAAAAAATAAATTTACACCAACACTCTCTTTTAAGTTGTGGTCTAAACTAGTGCATAACTTGGGTTTCCATCAATGCGATTCGGGTTTGAAACTTTTTGCTTCCCTCTTGAACGCTTTCCTTTTTCTTAATAATAATAAATTTAATAAAAAATCTAGAAAATAAAACAAATAAAAAACTGAAACCTTGACTTCATACAGAAGGGCACCACACAAAATTCCAATTGTATTTCAACACAAAATACAATTTTCTCACTTTAAAAACAGAAAGGCTGCAAAATTAAAATAAATTAAATTTCCGAGCTTTCTCTAACATTCTCGAACTTTCAATCGATCCAGGTCAAAATCTCCCTCCGCCTCCCAAATTTCCGATCTCGCATCAAAATTTCCCGGATTTCCACCAACATGCCGCTAAAACAACCGTCGAGTTACGGCACCACCACCGTCACCGCCGTCCAAATCGACCCCAAAACGTCCAAAGATCTCACCTTTACCTCCCGCCCCAAACCCCAGACCTCCTCCCAACCCCTGTACCCCACTATCACCTCCCAATCCGTGTACCCGACGCGCCGCCCATGGCGCGAGCTCTTTTCTCTCACCTCCTTCTCCGTCCCATCCAACTACGCCGACGCCATGGCGCGAAGCAAGCGCAACACCGCCTACTTCCGCGTCAACTACACCATGGCGGCGCTCTTCATCGTCTTCCTCAGCCTCCTCTGGCACCCGATCTCCATGATCGTCTTCCTCATCATCCTCGTCGCCTGGCTCGCCCTCTACTTCCTCCGCACGACCCCCGTCGTTCTGTTCAACCAGAGCTTCGACGACAGGGTCGTCGCCGTCGCACTGGGATTTGTCACTGTCGTGGCGCTGGTATTCACTCACGTGGGTTTAAATGTGCTGGTGGCGCTGATCGTCGCCGTCGTGATTATTGGGCTCCACGCGGCGTTTCGGGTCACGGAAGACTTGTTTCTCGACGAGGAGACCGCCGCGGAAAACGGGTTGGTCTCGGTTGTTGCCAGCCAGCAGTCCCTACGCCTGCCGACCACTTACACCCGGATTTGATTTGAACCCGGTTAAATCGGGTTTCCGGGATAATTCGGATTTACATTTTACTGAGGGGGTTGGATATTATTTCACCGGGAAAATTGGGATTTTTGTGGGAATTTTTTGGTTTTTGGAGGACTGTTATGCAAATTGTAGGGGGAAAATGTAGCGATTGCAGTGGGAAGGTGTTTGATATTTTGTTTTTGCTTGATATCAAATGGTCGGTAAAGATTCATTACTACTACTACTTATGTAACAGTTTATGGTGTGTTTTCTAGTATATTAAGAGTATTTTATACTTCATTAATACTCCAGAGTAACGTAGAATTTTCGTTTGAATGTTGTTCAGTTGACGATAAAATGTTATGGCGATGTTGTACAATTCCTGATGGACATGACCGAATTAAGTAGCAAGAGTATATTTAGTCTCTCTCAATCTTGAGACGTCAGTAGGACTGTCCTGATTATGGTAGCTTTCGTATTGGGTATGACCGAAGTTATATTTTTGGGAGAGGTGTCGTACAAACGGTTTTGTCAGATAGTCCTGTCAAAGTTTCTTTTTAATGCTTGCATCCAAGTTTGAGAAGAACTTTAATAGAAAAGCTTGATGGTGTGCTTGGTTGGGCACTTTCACAAGGAGTGAGATGCCGTGTATTGAGAACTGTAACTATATGAAGCTGAATGGTACCTTAAGAGGGTTAGTTATTTTATAAAAGTGGCGTGACCAATCACGTGATTATACTAACTAATGTTCTCTCAATTTTGATATTGTTTTACTGGTCTTTGTCAAATGGTTGACATGGTCACTTTTCCTGTAATTTCATAATCCAATTTAACTCAATTTTTGAAGTTTAGAACTTGGAAATAGCAAAAACTCAATTTTGAGTCTTGGCATTTGAACCACCACAACTTTGATTCAAAGTTTTCAAGACAAGTGAAACATTATTTGTGTACTTCAATCCTCGATTTAAGCATGTTAGAAATCCGACCATTTGAGCTACAAGTTCATTGGCCAAAAATTGAAAGTTGGTCAAAACTTGGCCACCATGTGGCAGGTAATTCAAGAAGTGGGCGCATTACATTAGCTAACAGACCTAACGTCTGCCGAATTTCAAGGTTTTACTGCAAAATCTTAATCGATTTTACTGCAAAATCTTAATCGATTTTCTGAAATAAAGATGATGAAGACAGAGAGACCATCCACATGGTAGGAACAAGTTTCTTCATGTATTAAAAATATAAGTGAACAATTCCTTCTCAGAACAACATTCAATAACGAAATTCGTATCAACCACAAATCATCCGGGAAACAGAACTACGGAAACACAAGCCACGCTTTTAATCCTCCTCTAGATTGATGGAGTCCTTGAACTTTCCATACAGAATTTTCTTCAACTCGGCCATCTGTGCTAGAATAGAATCCTTCTCTTCTTCAAGTTTCGCTAAACTTTTGCTCGTCGCCTCTTGCATCTCTTCTATCCTGCTCTCCACTTCTTCTTTTGGCACGTGGGCGAAGACTTCACCTATCTGGAACCGGACCACCTCCTCGTCAGTCAGAATCAACTCGTTGCTAGCATCCTCCAGATTATCCTTTGATTCCTGGACGGCAACATTGGATCAAGATGAAGGCACATCTTACAAAATACCAGGATAACAAGTAAATAAACGCACTGGTCAATAGAAATGACGTTGAAGTCCAACTGTTAAAAGTAAAACCTATGACTGAGTGTTCAGAGCCAACCTGATACAAATTCTTAAAAAGTTTAAGAGGAGAAAGGCAATATCCAAAAACAATTAATGTCACAAAGTAATGGCCGACTACTCAATGGACTAGAGATCTACGATAAGACTCCCAAGGAAAATAGAAAACGTACACCAAGTTCACAAGACTCGGGCAATGGAACAGTCAGGTATAAGCCTTTATCCTTCCATGGAAAATCAATGGTGCCAAAGTAAACTTTGACATAAAGTAACACGTAAAATTATCATAACACAAAATCCTGGCACGGAGGCTTACTGGATAAAGTTGATGATTAGTAAGTTGGCACATATCAGGAACCCCATTCCACGCCGACCAACAAGTTTTTTCATGTTAAACCATCCACTAAAACCATAGAATCATATGCAATTCCACTATCAACCTTCTTCGAGGCGACTTTCTGAACTTACTGCCAATTGTACAACATAAAATTGGTTGCTTTCAGGGCATTTGATAAACCAATCCTGTAAAACCTAGAAGACTAACGAACAAATCAATCCGCCTTTAGCTTAGCAGCAATGAGGCAATCGGTACCATCTCTTTTCTTTTCATTTAATCAATAAACAGCCAGTTAGCTTATCTCTTCACTGTTTTGCACTTTCAGATTGCAATCGCCCTCTCTTCCCGCACCCTTAATTCAAAACACGGTACAAGTTCTATATACCGTCGACACGTATCCATTTAAACAAGTGCAATTCTGATTTTATCAGATTCAAGACACAAACAGAATATGCATTCTACAAATTTTTGCAATCACATCAAGTATAGGAACAAAAAGACTTGATCTTTAAACAAAAACAAGAAGAAAAAAGCTAAGCAACCCAAACCCATGAAATTTGAGCCAAAATTACATCGTGGTTGGACGAATTTTCCAGCCCCATCTCAAGAAATGCAACAAATCAAAACAAAATCCCATTAAATATAAAACAAAATAAAGAGGCCAAGAAATTAATTACCTTGGCAAATTTGATCTCGTCCTCGAGCTCGTGAAACCGGTTATTCAATCTGCCAAATTTGTTGATGTTCTGCTGGTCCTCCCATGTCACCTCCGTCTCAGATCCTCCACCCTTTTGCCCCAAAACCAAAAATTCATAAGTTGAAGAAATATAAATAACAAAACTTTTTGCACGGAAATATTTGAAGTAAATAAGTACAGAGACATTAATTATGCGAATGAAATATTAGGGTTCGAATTCACCTGCTGCATATTTGATTCAAGGCGTTGAACGAACACGATGAAGAAGCTCAGTGAACGGTGAAGAGTAAAGTCTGTCAAGAACTCAAGCGGGTACTGTGGGCATTTCCGTACTTATACCTAATTAGTCAACGAATTGGGCTGTTAACAACACAAATACAGTTGTGGGCCTTCCACGTAAAAATGGGAAAATAAAATTTGGAACTTTTAGTGATGAATTGACAATTTACCTATATAGTTTTACAACACTTATCACATGACTTTCGGTAATGATTAAATATGGCACCAATATTTATTTACAAACACTCATGCGACGGGTATTTTTTTTAATCCAAATATAACTTCAATATTTCTTCTTACAACACTCATTAGGCAACTTACGCAATAAGGAAGTTCTTTTCTCCAAATGTCGTCTCAAATCTTCCTGCAACGCCTATCACATGACCTCATGTATTGAGAGAGTTGTTCTCCAAATATAGCCCAAATGCCCATCTCTTTAATACTGTTTTTGTAATTTGACTAGTGAAGTTTTTCTATAACACTTATCATGTGACCTAATAGTTCTAACTTTAGAGTTACCTTTTTCTTCGGCCTCATCTGGGCAAACTATGTTAGGGCTTGAAGAAGCCCATTCCAATGCCAATGCATGACCTAATCTGAAAAGAGATCCTCTTCAGATCTTACCTTCCAAAACTCGGAGATTAAGTAATTCGAATCTTTAAAATTTGATCCAATAGTTAAAAACAGAGAAGTTAGTAAAAACTTTTAAAAGCTATAATAATTTTGAACTGTTAGATCAAATTTTAAAGATTCAGATCACTTGATTCCTGAGTTTTGAAGAGAGAGATTCGAAGAGGATCTCTTTCCACCTAATTTGGTGGGAAATAAAACAAGACCGTAGAAATCAGGGTTTTGTCAAAATTAAGAAATGTCAAAGGTTTTTGGTGTCTAAATTCAAAAATACCCAAGAAATCAGGGATTGACCTGAAGAATTGCATCCAATTAGAAAACAAGTGGTAACAAAAATGCCACCAGTAAAATAATCACATAAAACTCTGTAGCTAACATCATCTAATTTTAGCCATTCTTGCAAATTTACCACCACCTGTTTCTGGAAAGAGTTCTCCACTTCATGACCTAACTTTGCCTCAAAATTGCATGCATGCTAGCAAAAACTCATGGCACTTGCACATCAGACTACCCATCTAGTGACTATTAATCTTTTCTTTTATCTTGTATGTTCTTCATCAGCAAACAATGTCAATGGTGGCGGATTCAGCGTCGAACTCATTCGCCGAAACTTGCCAAATTCACCATTCTACAATCATAATACATCTCCTCCAAAGAGCTTAAGCAATCGTTTTCGACGTCTATTGAAGCCGTCCAATCCAAACATACCGCAATCAGAAGTGAGACGCGACTTTGATGGCGAGCATCTCATGAAGTTTTCCATCGGAACTCCACCTGTGGATATTTATGGGGTTGCAGACACAGGCAGCACATTAATATGGACGCAATGTGAGCCGTGTATCGATTGCTACAAGCAGAAAAATCCCAAGTTCGACCCGAGAAAATCGTCAACTTATAGGAACGTTTCATGTGGTGCACAAGAATGTAATTTACTCATAGATTCTGGCCCTAACTCTTGCTCATCATCTTCTGATCATCGTCAAGAGCTCTGCAATTACAATTACAGTTACGTAGACGGTGCAACTACCATTGGATTACTTGCGAAAGAAACAATCACGTTGAAGGCCGCATCCGGGAAACCAATTCCCTTACAAAATATTGTGTTTGGTTGTGGACATAATAATACAGGAGAAACGTTTCAGGAGAACCAAATGGGAGTAGTAGGGCTTGGAATTGGAAACATGTCGTTTATTTCCCAAATTTCCCCTGCAGTTGGAGGCAAAAAGTTCTCCTACTGTTTGGTTCCATCCCATGCAAATCCCACGTCCATAAGCAAGATGAGTTTTGGGAATGGGAGTGAGGTTTTGGGTGAAGGGGTGGTCTCAATGCGGTTGATCTCCGAGCTTGACAATAACGCTTATCGCGTCATGATCGAAGGCATGAGCGTTGGAGACAAGTTTGTGCCTTTCAATTCATCCGGTAATGGGGCTTTGCCAGGGAATACTATTCTCGATTCCGGAACACCAAACACGTACTTGCCTCAACAATTTTATGATCCTTTGGTGGCGGAGTTGAAGAAGCAGATTGCGATGAGCCCCAATGAAATAATGGACCCAACTTTTGGGACACTTGTTTGTTACAACAACAAGAACATTTTCAAAGGGAAAAAAATTACCGTGCATTTTGAAGGTGGTGCTAAGTTGCAGTTGACACCAAATCAGATCTTTTTCTACCACCAAGAGTTTCAGAATTTCTGTTTTGCAATGCAGAATTCAAGTTATGTCACTCGTGATGATTTTATTGTTTATGGGAATTATGTTCAGTCTAATTTCTGGATTGGTTTCGACCTAGAAAGAATGGTGGTTTCGTTTAAGCCAACTGATTGTACAAATAGTACTAGCAGTGTTATTGCTACTCCCTTTTCCTTTTCCTCCACTTATGTTTTGAATTTTCTTTTATTTGTAATTTTGACCTTCTAGAAAATTAGAAAAAATGGTGTATTGTGAATATTTTCTCTATTTACCTTTTTCAACTTACTTAGTGTATTTCTGCATGCATGTTAGACAAGTCATATTTAAGTAACTGCACAATTTACGCTTTTAACTAAGATGGTCTTTGAAATTATCATAACTCTTTACTTTGGTTTCTGCAATTTAAAATCGATATATAGAATTGATCCCTAAGATTATCCATCATCAATCATTTTAGTCATTTCATCATAAATCTCTGTTAAATTGAAAAAACCACCAATTTAAGGAGAATGATTGATTTGACAAAAATATCCTTAATTTAAAGGATATTTCTCACTGAATGATCAAAATGATTGACGGTGAACAATCTTAAGAACACTTATATCGATTTTAAATCTCAATGATCAAAGTAAAAAATTATGCCAATATCAAAGATCATTTTAGCTAAAAAACCTTACAACTTCTAGATCAATGGGATTCTTAAAAATAGACACAAATTAACACGCACGTGTTCGAATCCATCCCAGATGTATCAGAAATTCATACAAATGAATCATAAACGTGTTCAAAGTTTAAGTTTTTGTAAATTTTATTTAATATTTTAAGTTCAAATAGATTTTTTCCATATGGCATATGGACCTGGAGAAGTCAAAAGTTTTGAAAACCCAAAAAATGAGGTTCAAGCTTTGACCAGGGTCGACAGTAACAGCAGAACCTAATAAAACAAGTGGCATGCAGCTTTTCACACAAAAACGTGGCCCCTGTGTCCTCTTCCAATATTCTAAAATTAAAAATATCACCCCTTTCTAAGATTAGAATAAGAACTCCAAGGGTTACTAATGCATTTTTAGCCATTAACACAACCCTAGGCACCTTCTATTTTAGCACTAACTAGGAAAAATGCCCGCGCGATGCTGCGGGACTTAAATGCATCACCTTAAACTGTATTGTATTGTACAATTAACAGGACGAAACAGAACGTTTTGATTTCCTAATAAATAGAAGAAATAGAAGTAAAATATAGTTTACAGAAATATTGCCCTTGTGGTCAAGGTGATAAAATATATATCTTCTAGGTTAGCTACATGTTGTAGTTGACAAAAAACATAAAAACTGTTTTGTTCTTATTCTAGCATCTAAGTTTCCAAGCACGAATGTGCAAAAAACACGCAGTTGTTGAAGCAAAAATGTTGATAGCCAAAAACATGTAGAACTGCCTGCAACAGTCGATTATGGAGATTGCATTGTTCACTTTTCTTTAGAGTGGATATCTTCCGCACTACAGCAAAAAATATAAATCATAGTTTAAGAAACGCGACCAAATGTTTTTCATGTAGGCGTGCATATGAAAGAAATGAAAAAGAACAAAATCACCCATATATATAATACTTTAAGTTTAAATGCATCCCAATTGTGGGTTCCAACATCACAGAAAGAATGTCTTATACATAATTAACAGTACGCCCGGCATCGGTTCATCCTTTCGTATTAATAGTTATTGTTTGCAGAAACCTCAATTACCTTACAATCTATCATCATTGACATATAGTTCATACAAAATGGGACATCATAACCTGTCTTTGGCCAACAACAGTTTTTCCAAAATGAAATCAACTATTACTGCATTAATTATGGGTCCATCTAGGCAATTCATTGAATTCACAGAGCCGAAAATTTCCCTAATTCGCTGAATTTACATACAAATGGGACAAACAATAAAACATACCATAATTTTGATGACAACCATATTAATCATCCTTAATAGTATAAATAATTCAACAATGTGAAAAATATAGGTCATGTAGAAATAGAACAATCAAAGTTCTCTATTTTGATCAAGAAAATAATGGTCAAAATTTTAAAGAGACAGAGCCTTTTATAGTAAATTTTATATCCAGAAACTCAAAACCAAACATGTTCAATTAGCAAGAAATTCTCTACATGATACTCGAACCAAAACCGATGAATTTTTGTTATATGTATCATAAATAGAAATGATGGCATCCAAATTCCATTAGTTTAATATTTAGAAACACTTAGTCATTAAGTATATATACTTGCCAAAACTCATTCAGACAATATCAATTTATGAATTACACGTGTAGTCAAATTGATTATGCGTCCTTACCCTTTCCTTACCCCTACGCTTTAACCCTTGCATAAAATCCTCCCTTCTCTCGCTCACCTTTGTTCTATCTCTGTGTGTGTGTAAATCGCAAAAAACAAACCCTGAACTAAAACCCTCAAATCCCGGCTAAATTCTTGCACAATTTGGTCGGAGATTCTTTATTTCTCCTTGCAATTCCTAAACCAAATGTGGTAAATTTTATCTGAAAGAGACCCCTCTTTCTACAAATGGCACAAAGAAAATGGTTTCGAGAAATTATGCTAAAGGGGAGACTAATCAGATGATTATGCTTAGAACTATAATGTTGTTTCAATTTAAAAAAAAAGTGTTAACTGATTGAAAAACCAAACCATTTAAAGAACCAGTAGAGATCACAGTAACAACATTGTAATAAAACTAAGATCTAAAAAAGCATGTATTCAAAAGTAAATTAGTTCGATCATGCATAAAGCAAGGCAGTGACGGAACATTAGCAGCTAAGGTAATCCACCATATTAAGGCATCATACAGATTATTATACTTTGTTTGTCAGCATGGGAACATGTGTCAGAAAAAGAAAAGGAAAAATATATAGGGTAAATTTAAAGGCTATTTGAAAAGTTTAATATGTTTGTCTGTGAAACTCAATGATAAAACTTCACAGTCATGCTTTCCAAGAAGAAAAGAAAGCAAATAACTGAAACCATTGATAATTCGAAGCAACAGAGCAGATATTATTAAGATTGAAAACGCATTCCAGAAAGCATGGGGAAACTGTAAAGGTAACAAAAACTATGATGGTGGAATGGATTAAATCCATGAAAGTGCAACAAAGAAAGGGTAAATCTGAGAAGGGTTTAACTGACGACCAGTCTTTTATACTTGATAATGTTATGAATTATCAGCTGGATAAAGCTGTTAAAATGTGTTTTGGAATCAGTCGTCGCACAACATGTTTATTTACGCTGTTCTTGTTTAACTGCAAACAACTGCGTTTTATTATTATGTTTCAGTTTAGGTTTGATGGCATGAATATTTGTTACATCACACTAACTTATGACGTAACAATCACACATTGTACTGTTATTGCAGTCATATATATTCAAATTCTACTGTTATCGCGGTCATATATATATATATATATATATGCATATATATATATGAAAAGGACGCTATAATTAGATAGCTAAATCTAATCCTAATGTCAAAAAAAAAAATGTAAGAACTGTTATGAAACCAGTGTTAATTAATATACCTCAAAAGTCAAAGGGCCAAGTGCTCCAGCGATCGATCTAACTTTCTGAAAATCGGAAACAAAGCAAATCGATTAGCACTAACTCACAGAACAACAATGAAAATAATACCTCAGAGACAATAGCGAAATTCTATTAGCAGTAAACACACACTGTTGAAACAGGGATTGTAGCAAAGCTATACCAATTAGTAATATAATATAGGCATTAGTTGCAGGTTCTGCAAGTATTATCTGTAGAATTTAGCAGGTTAGTTATATACTTTATCTGAGATAGTAATGCAAATATCATACCGAAGAAACATATATCATCCAGTATTTCTCATCTAAAATTTTCCGATCCAAAAAAGACAATAAGGAAAATTACGCAACTTCAGAGTACAAATGTTAAACATGCTACTTCAACCGAAATAACTTCTAGATACAATGAGAAACACATGCTCATTCTAGAAATGGAATCCAGGTAAAACCAAAATACATAAAAACTGCAATAGTTAAACTGCAAGCTAAATTGATTAAGTGTCCAGAAGATAAACACACCAATTTTCAAACAAAGCAAAGAAATTGAAATTGTCTCATGAAAACTAACTAAAAGTTTACGTAATGTCTTTGTATTATTATCTAAGAGGCGAGATAGAATGTTAATACTACATGACACAAAAACAATGCAATATCTACATGTTTAGGTAACACCATCCTATCATGCTTAACAACTGGAAACGCACAATCTAGTTTACAAAAGTAGGGGTTAGAGTATGAAAACCAACTAAACAGACCATGAAAATAACTAAAAGGTGGTATTTGCCAAGGTGTCTAAACTTCTATATATATATATATATGTGTTTGTGATGTAAAACTAACTTCATCAGGGTTGTAGTTGAACTGAACCAACAAATCTGTGAGCTAATTAAATATTCACACACATTATACTCATAGACACTGCACTCACACACTCTGATTATAAGAAATGAAAATGAAAAAACAAATGAAAGCTAACATATGTCTTGGCCAACATATTTATAAGATATGGATGCCAACCAGTAAATAGCTAGGAATTTACCTAAAGAGTCTTTAGCCACAAAAATCCCATTAAAGAATCTCAACATGTTCCCAAAACATTAAAATAGTAATGCAACTAAAAAATTTCCCCAAACCCTAAAACCCACAGAGCATATGCCCTACTCAACAAAGATAATTAAGAACAACAATTGCAGGATCAATAAGGACTCTGTGAACTGCAAGGATTAAGAGTGCAGGAAAAACATTACTACTGGTAACTTAACAGAGAGAGAGAAGAACCTGCAATTAGGTTTTCTCAAAAGCGAAAATTGCAGAAAGCAACCAAGAGACACAAAAAATTTAGCTAAAGAATGTTAGCCACCAAAATCTCATTAAAGAATCTCAAAATTTTTTCTAAACATTAAAATACCAAAGCAGCTCAAAATTTTCCCCAAACCCTAAAACCCACAGAACATAGCCTCTACTCAACAAAGATAACTTAAGAACAATTGCAGGATCAATAAAAACTCTGTGAATTGCAAGGATTAAGTGTGCAGGAAAAACTATAATCTAGATAAACAAAAGAAAATATGTATTAAAGAGCACCAAAAAGTCAAAAACTTTAAAGGCTGCCAAATAAATTTGTATTCAAGGGTTTGAACCCATCGATCTAAGTGCAAACATAAAAAGCACAAAACATAGAAAAATAAGTTGAGAGATAGTTTAGAACATTGCAATTGAGGCTCCTCTCAGTAAATATATACACATATATATATATATTTTAAAAAGAACACATGTATACCCTGCCCTGTAAGAAACATGTTAAGCAAACACCCATCTTATCAATGGTTCAGAATCATAGTTTGATCACATATGCCAAACTATAAATCTAAACCATTGATAAGGTAAACTTTTGCGAGAATGTGTGGTCCATATGCACTGTCTGGCAACATAACCACCTATGTTGCCAGAATGTCTAGCAATAGGGCATTACGCTACATATTCAAACGTTGAGAAACCATGGGAGAAGGAACGACTCAGAACTTGGAAGTAAAATATGAAAATCACAACTCAAAACACAGATTAATAAATGTTATTTCAAATTTTCACAAACAACATAGCAGATAAGGAAGAGTATAGAAAATTAGAGAGAAATTCAAACAGAGCAAGGAAAACTAACTATGCATACCATAGTCACCAATAATATACCACAAAAGATATATACATTTGGTGACAATCATACATTTGATTCCTACAATATTTCATGTCTTGCATAAAAATTAGAAATTAAAAAAAAAAAAACACAACAAAGAAAAGGGTACCTAATACTTTCCGTGCAGCTCTTCAAAAGGCAAAATGCTTTAGATCCTAAGGACCAAGCAAATATAAAGGCATTCAAAAATATCAAAGAAAATCAACAATGCATGGAACAAAAATTAGAAATTAAACACCCATCAAAGGTTGTGAAGAATGCTAAATCCAACTAATTCGAAACATAAAGTAAGCCGAAAGTAATAAAACTTATAAATTCTATATAAATTATAATCCTTTGGAGAAAATCTCCAATATCCATTATCCAATTAATTGTATTAAAAAACCTAGCAAATCTCCATTAAATTAAACACATTTTGCAGTAAAGTATCCATCTTTTCACAGTAAAGCAATACAAAGATCATGAGCAAGTAAATCTGGAACACTACCATCAAAATTCCAGCAATCAATACCCATAATTATAAATTTTGTCAAACTTAGTTGCTACAGTGTTTGACAATGATCAGGCAAAAACTGAATATTTCGTGGAGCCGCAAATGTTCTATCAGAAAAAATGAATAATCGAATTAGTTGACTAAATTTACGGAACAAAAAGAGAAGAGGGGAATGGAGGAGATCAGCAGAAGGAGACGAAATCAGATTGAGAGTCTGAGAGTCAATTGCTGAATTTAGATGAACTGACCTTTTTTATGACAGACAGTCAAACTGGAATGCACAGGGAGAAGCGGAATAAGGAAAAGATGATGGTTCTCAGATACATCAGCACTCCCTGCAAAACCCCAAAAGCAGAAGATTAGAAAAAAACCCAAAATCAGTGGCATGGTCCTCGTTTCTCCATTAATCAGTAGCTAATGACCTAACGAAAAAGAACCCAAAACAGACTGGTTAAATTATGGAAAGTGCTTATAAAGCTCATGAATAACTTTCAGAGCCTGCATAGAAATGGTATAGCACAGATAACAACAAACAATAAAACTATGCACAGTATAAGCTAAATCCGATATGTTACATTCCACACACACACACAGATATGTCGAAAACTCAAAATTATTATAGAGTAAAGACAACTATATTATACAATCAACTTTGAAGTGTTATCCATTGGTAAATTTTCAGTATTAATTCTATTGGATTATTCATAAGAAATGAAGAATCCAAAACTGCATCAATTCTTAGTTCAAAGTTCAAACCAGCAGCTACTGTCATCCATATGAGATTAAGAATCCAAAATTGCATGAATTATTTCATTAAGCAACCAAACAGGGGATAACACAAATTGCAAGGTAAGAAAGAAAGATAGAAACCTGGAGGGACCCAAAAGGAGCAATTAAATAGCAGTACATAATGACGGAATTTCAATGAAAAAATATGAATAGGTGGAGGGGGTCAAATTCAATCCATGAGAGAAAGAATTAATATGTAACACATACTTTCTTAATTAAATTTAAAAAAAATAAAAAATAAAAACTGAGCTCTGGGAAAACCTAAACCTATACTTCTTGAACTTTAGGTCACTCAAGATGATGTTCAAAAATTTTCTTTGAAGAAAACCCAAAAGGAGCAATTAAATAGCAATACATAATGACGGAATTTCAATGAAAAAATATGAATAGGTGGAGGGGGTCAAATTCAATCCATGAGTGAAAGGGTAAGCATATACCTGCTGCTAGGAAATCCAGATTCCAGTGGTTGATACTCTTTGTTTCTGAAAAAAGTATGTATGTTTGAGCTGCAGGGATACATCACATAGGAAAAAATTAGAGGGAAAAAGAGTTTGTATTTAAACACAGTAAAGAGATTTGTATTAGAAATTACTTTGTATAAACGAAATTTAAAATGGATAGACAAATACCTCACTAATGGTTTGTTTGGTGGCTGTTGTGTGAATGGATGGTTTGATGTGTATAGTTGTGTTGGATCTACATGCATATCAAGAATCAAATCAAAAGTTTATCTCAGAAATATAAAAGAAGCAAGAAACGGAAAACAACCTAGCAACATATGGATATTAGAATGATGTGAAGTGGAAAAGGAAGCTGAAGTTGATTTGTTGATTAGTAAATAGTAGGAAAGTATGAAAAAACACATAAATGAGCACAGTGCAACCCCTTTGTTTATAAATACAGAAATATCAACCTAACAGTGAACTAAACAGGCTAGACACCCTAATTTAAAAACAATAAACTTAAAAAGTAGGCTTAATTTTGTTCCCTCATAAGCAAAGGGAAAAAATTCTGAAAAACACAAATATAAACAGTGTAGCCTCCTAATTTAGAAAGACTAAGAGTAAAGTCTAATAGTTAAGCAAACAAATTTTGAAATATCTATGACAGCTTTAATAAAGGAAAGGGAATGGTAAATCAAACAGTGAACATATAATTTCAAACAAAAAACTGTATAAATTTACGTTTTTTTTACTTAATTTTTTAATTTTTCGGTCAACCATTAATCTTGCTGTAAATTTAGGTGTTTTCCGTTTGTGTTGGTCCAGCTGCTTATACTTGTCAAATGTTGGTTCATCTTATGCAAATATTGATATACTTAACAGCTTACTGCCTATGGGTAGTGGAGCATCCCAAATTAATCTACATTATGGTTATTAGAACAATGGATTAGGTTGTAGGATAAGTTTTAACATCCAGCTAACCCTAGAGCTGAACTAAACAACCTACAAAAGACAAAGAGGAAACCCTAATAGTTAACTAAACAATATAAAATATCTATGACAGCATTAATGAAGGAAAAAATATCTATGACAATTTTAATAAATGGAATGGCAAATCAAACAGTGAACAACAATTAAAAAAAATAAACTGAAATAAAGTGAATCTAAGGTGACCTAAACAATCTACAAAGATCTATGACAATTTTAATGAAGGAACATAAAATCTGTAACAATTTTTAAACTGAAAAATGATGAATTATACACAAATTGATGGAGAAACAAAGAAATTATATCGGTGCAAAGGCCTAATTTACAAAAACAGAGACTTAATCCTAGCACCCAACCGAACAAATTATTAACATGCATTGCAATTTGAATGAAAAAACCAAATATGAATGGCAATTTTAACAAAGCAAATGGCAAATCAGAAACAAAACAATTAATCTAAAAGAGTTCATGACCTTTTGAATGAAGGGAGAAAGATGAAAACGCAGACCCTGCCATTCCTCCCTCGCCCATCCCCTCATCACCGACTCTGTGCGTAAGCCCTTGACCCTAACGAATGCACATACGCATGCTTTTCGTTATGTATCTCTCTCCCTGTTCATCCTTCTCTAAAATCGCAGAAAATCCCAAGGATCCTGGCAGAAGACCTAGCTAAATCTCTCTGTCAGTCAGTGGAAACCCGTAGCTCCCGTATCTATCCAATCTGTCAGTCTCTCTATCCCCATCCTCTCCACTCCCTCTGTCCCCTTCCTCTCCTCTCCGCACAGTGAGACCCAGCTGTCTCCGAGTGAAAATGGGGAGCCATCGTCTCTCTCCAATTTGTCAGCCGGTTTGTCCCCCTCCCCTCTCTGTCCCCGAGTCAAACCTTGAGATGCAGAGGGTGGAAATCGGGTTTTAAGGCTGGGTGGTATTTTTGTAAATATTGAGAAAGTTGGGTAAAAGCAGCCGAGTGGCAATTTTGAAAATAAACTGAAATGTGGTCCAAATCACTATTCATATGAATAGTGCCAATTTCCCTCCTACTTTAGACTAAAGTAATTGCACACTTTCTCTGTTCTCTTACATCTTCTTTCCTGAAATTGAATGTAATATATGGCATATGCAGATGTAGTGACTATGATTTTGATCATTTATCTAATTCTATATTATAGTTCAGCTATAAAAGTGGTGAATTCTGATGTTAATGACGGGTTTAGTATCAAACTTTTTCGCTAAAACTCTCCAAATTCACCACTTTACAATCATAATCATAAAATTTATCGACATCGTATGGATGAAAGTACCCCACAATCAAAACTAAGGCTTGACAAGGAGGGTGGTGAGGGTGCACAACTTATGAAGCTCTCTCTTGGAACTCCACCCTATGAGATTTATGCAGTGGCGGATACAGGAAGTATGATGTTGTGGACGCAATGTGAGCCGTGTCCGAATTGCTACAAGCAGAAAAATCCCAAGTTTGATCCGAAAAAGTCCCCATCATACGCAACACTTCCATGTACTGCACAAGAATGTAGTCATGCTAATGACACTGGCTACACCTCATGCTCAAAGGATGATCAAAAGGTCTGCAACTACAATTACACTTACATGGATGATTCAATAACGCAGGGGGTGGTGTCAAAAGAGACAATCACATTCGGATCCAGCTCCGGGAAGCCAGTTTCGTTCAAAGATGTTGTGATAGGTTGTGGACACAACAATACTGGGAAAACCTTTGGCGAAAACGAAATTAATCGATTATTTCTCAACTTGCTCCTTACGTTGGAGGCAAGAAATTCTCACATTGTCTCGTGCCCTTTGATCCGGATCACCCCAATGATGCAAGCATCATGAGTTTCGGAAGGGGAAGTGAGGTTTCGGGTGAAGGTGTAGTTTCGACTCCATTAATCACCAAACATTGCAAAACCCAATATTTTGTCACGGTTGAAGGAATCAGCGTCGGAGAACAGTTTGTGCCTTTTAACTCATCAGGTTCGGTTTCAAAAGGGAACATGTATCTCGACTCGGGTACATAAGTGACAATGCTGCCACAAGATTTTTACGGCAGATCGGTAGAACAAGTAAAGAAGACGATGAATTCGTCACTAAAACCAGTCGAAGTAAATGACGAGTCTGGAACTTTGCTTTGCTACAACACCACGGAGAATCTCAAAGCACCATTATTCACGGTTCATTTCGACGGCGGTGCTAAATTGCAGCTGTCACCGGCACAAACTTTCTATCAAAACAAACAACATAAACTACACTGCTTTGGAATGCTTAACTCGAGTCATACCATAGGTGAAGGAATTGGTCTCTATGGAAGCTATGCTCAGTCAAATTTTTTGATCGGTTTTGATCTTGAAAAGATGTTGGTCTCCTTCAAGGCAGCTGATTGCAGAAAAACTAGCAGTACTAGTAGTTCTAGTCCTAATAGTGCTTTTGCTATTCATACTTCTTATTTCTTCAACTACGTTTTCAGTTTTATTTTGATTGTAATTTTGAGAATCAATTAGTTGAAGGAGCATATGGGTGTTTACGTAAGCATTTCTTTTCCAAAAACTAGACATTTTTATGATTAATGCTAAAACGTACTTTAACTAGCATCCTAAGTCCGCCTTCCTGCCTCCAGGATGTTGGAGATCAAAAAAGGCATCCCATGACGAAGAAACATTTCACCTGCACATATATAATGTTTCAAGAAAAATATTAAGTCGCAACTTAATGTGCCAACCAAAAATATAAGACGTACAACAGCAAAACCAAAATGTAACTAGTTTTTTTGTGCTTTTTAATAACGAGACCGGGCGGAGTTGAACTTCGAAGCTCTCCCAATATTTGGATGGAAAATAAAAAACTACAAAAGCTTGCTTGAATAAGCTTACAGACGTACTCCATAAATTCTTTTTTTCACTTGCCCTTATGGATCTCCAATGGAGAAACTGTATACAAGCTCCACGGCTAGTCTCTGCTCTTTGGACTAGTATGGTGGTTCTCGTTCTTGAAGAGGTAAAACACTCCATATGTCGTAACACGCGGAGCGTGACATTTACTTTTATAAAATCCGTATAACTTCTTAAAAAAGTTCATTCTTATGAATAAAGTACCATTCAAAGAATGCATTTTTGACATAAGTAGGTTCGAACTTTCAATGTCCCTACTTTTTCCTATATCCTCTTTTTCATGCAAAAAATTACCATTTCCTATATCCTCTTTTCATGCAAGACATCGATAGTGTGTAAGCGGGGAATGAATTTAGGACCTTGATCGGATGAATGGATAAATTAATGTTCTTAATTACTTAAGTTATTTCCTGCTCTATTTTGTATTCTTAGCCATATTCACTTACATATGCACTCTTGCTTTAATTTGTATCCTTATTCAATTCCTTTTGAATGGAAAATTTTCAATGTGCTTAGAACACGGTCCGGTACATCAAATGTTATATTACAAGTGGTTGAATTTTTTTTTAAGTATCCAACCACTTTATAATGACACTTAGTGTACCCGGCTGTGTTCTGAACACACTGAAAAATCTCTCAAGTTCAATTTCTATGCCACCTAGGACTAAGATTAGATCTTCTTGGTTTTATCAACCGGTGGTGATGGCAGAAGACCCAGTAATATTCCAAGCCAGGAGCCAAGTATTTACTCATGTAAAATGTAATTAATATGGATATTATTATTACTGTGATATTAAGAAAAAAAAAAGTTGATTACCAAAAAAAGAACTTGAAACCAAAGAAACGAGGTTCTTGCGCATGCATGCTTTGACCAGAAAAGCGTGGCCTGAAAACCTCTCCCATGCAAATTTTCTAAAAACAAGCATTGCTAGCTACTTTCTTATTAAACCCATCTTTGCAGTACTTTTCTTCTTCTTCAATCTAAATCCCTCTCCTAAGCTCTCCTATGGCAGCTGCAGGCACTATTGCTTTATACAATCATATGATTTTGATCACTTTTCTAATTTATCTGTGCCATAATTCAGCTACATCTAGAGTAGCAGCTTGCAGTGGTATTAGTACTAATGGCAGGTTTAGCATACCACTTACTCGCCGAAACTCCCCAAATTCGCCATTATACAATCGTAACAAAGTTTTTCGGCGTCTCATGGGACCAGCCGGTGACCAAAACACCCCACAATCCGAAGTAACACGGGACATCATAGACGGTGAGGGTGCACACGTTATGAAACTCTCAATTGGAACTCCGCCATTTGATATTTACACCGTGGCTGATACTGGCAGCTCGCTCGTATGGACGCAATGCGAGCCGTGTCCAGGATGCTACAAGCAGAAAAAACCCATGTTCGACCCGCGGAAATCCTCGACGTATCATATCATCCCATGTTATGCGCCAGAATGTAATGCTACTATTGATGATTTCTCATGCTCAAGAAGTGGTGATCAAAATGTTTGCAGTTACAATTACGTTTACATGGACCAGTCGAAGACACATGGAGTAGTCGCAAAAGACACGATTACCCTGGTGTCCGGATCAGGCAAGCCGGTTTCGTTCAAAGATGTTGTGTTTGGTTGTGGACATAACAACACAGGGGAGAATTTTTCTGAAAATCAAATGGGAATGGTAGGGCTTGGCCTTGGGAACACATCACTTGTTTCTCAAATCGCTCCCTACGTCGGAGGCAGAAAGTTCTCCCATTGTCTCGTGCCGTTCGACCCTGATCACCCGAATGCTGCAGGCACGTTAAGGTTTGGGAACGGAAGTGAGGTTACTGGTGAAGGAGCGGTTTCGACGCCTTTGATCATTAAGGATCAAAACGACAGGTACGCGTACCAATATCATGTGACAGTTGAAGGAATCAGTGTTGGAAACACATTTGTGCCTTTTGACTCATCGGGGTCGGTTTCGAAAGGGAACATGTTTCTTGACTCTGGAACACAAGTGACAGTACTACCACAGGATTTCTATGGCCAATTGATGGAACAAGTAAAGAAGGCAGTTGATCTGAAACCGGTTCTAGTAGGTGACCCGAAAAACGGAACTCGGTTTTGCTACAATACAAGCACGTTGGATCATCTCAAAGGAGCGACATTGACAGTGCATTTTGACGGCGGTGGTAAAGTGCAATTAACACCGGAACAAGCCTTCTTCCATACCGAAGATGATGGATATAAGCTGTTGTGTTCTATGTTGATGAATGCCACCGAAGTTGCAAGTGAAGACGTTAATGTTGCTATCTATGGAAGCAACGCTCAGTCGAATTTCTGGGTCGGTTTCGACCTTGAAAGAATGACGGTCTCCTTCAAGCCAACTGATTGCAGAAAGAGTAGTGGAGATAGAAAGAGTAGTGGAGATGGAAAGAGTAGTGGCGATGGAAAGAGTAGTTCTACTGTCATTCAATTTTCCTATTTTTACACCTGCCTTTTTAATTTTCTTTTATTTGTAATTTTTTCATTGTAGAAAATCGTTCAAAAGAAGAAAAATAATTTCCACACACTCTTTTCACGACTTACACCTCCATTGATTCTCTTCTTGACTTATTTAATTCAAAAATTAGAAATAAACAAAGAGTGTGCAAATGAAGAAACGAGATGATTGGAAATTACTTCATGAAAGAATATGAATATGAAAAGAAAAAAAAAACAAAGAATTTAGGGGGGTGTATTCAATTGGGGTTTTGAGGGATTTTTATTTTTATTTTAAAAGAAGTTTATAACATTCTAGGTGTATTCAATTAGAAATTGATTTTAAAGAATTTGAGAAAGTTAAGGAATTAGAGGGAATTGGAGAGATTTCATAGTGTATTTTAAGCATCCACAAATCTCACGTCGTCCCATGGATTTCAAGAGAATTGAATCAAAATTTTATATGGAATTTTTACAAATCAATTAAACTCCATAAAAATCCATGAATTTATAAATCTATTAAAGTCTCTCAAATTCTCAATTTAATACACCCCTTAATATATAGAAGGGTTATTATACAAAATGGTACATGAGATTTGTATGATCAATAGAAATGATCTTTGAGATTGAAAATCAATAGAAATGGTTCCTGAGATTGTCTACCATCATGATTTTGTTCATTC